CTACTTAATTTTCCGGTTCAATATCTAGCTAATCTGGTTATGAAAACATATGCTTTTAGGTATAAAAAAAACGTTTCATAGTAAATGAATATTATATTATATGACAGCTTAACAGTTTTGGAAGAAAAAGGGCATCTTGCTCCACTTTTTTCCCCACTTGCAATGAGTCTGTTCTCTTGACAAATTGTCATGTGGTGGATTCTCCTCCACTGGCTACAACCTCCTTCCTCGTGAAAGATTAAAAGGGAGAGTTGGAAGATGGTGAATCCCTTCATGGAAAAAAAGGCACAAAGTATAAAAGACCACGATTGTTAGATATGGAGCTTATTTCACTAAAAAAATAAGTTTATTGTAGGAGCATTCCTTACAATAACTCGAGTTGTTGGAAGAGGTTCATGTAGAGTACTTAACCACTTATTTATGAGTTTCCTCAAACAAAAACCGACTCATGGACTCGAAGTTTTCATGGACCTTCTCGTACCATGTGGTTCAAGACAACTGTTAATAATGAGAGTCTTGAGGACTTGAACACGTCACCTTAATGACAACCCAGTTCTGATACCATGTCATAAACCAACTGATCTCAATAACTCAAGTTGTTGGGAGAGGTTCATGTATTATACTTAACCACTTCTTTACAAGGAAAACCCCAACTATGTACTATAACTTCTACGACAATACTACACAATAGTAGGATTGGTCTGGGTGGTAAGAGAGTGGTGTGCGATCCACAATTAACTTTCTCTCAACAATTCGAATTATTGGAACGAACCAGTTTAGACATATAGTACCAGATCTTTGTTTGGCAAGTGATTGATCGTATGTTCGAATCTTTCTCGGCCTCCAATATCAATAGTTGATTAAAGTTACAAGATATGATGTGTCTGTACAAACTTAAATCTCGTGATTTGACTTTCGTTTTGAGGGTGGATGTAAGATAGCGGCATGTCACTAAATTGGCCACAACGCTTTCAGTTTCATAGTCTTCGAGATCTGATATTGGGGGATTATTGATCAACGCCGACACTAATTTGGGGCCTCCTTGCAAAAATGCAGTCGACGTTGCTCGTTTTAATGTGCGTGGACAACAAGTGTTCTAATAAGTGATGACACCCAAATGTATTAATTTTGAATTGAGTTGTTTCTATGTCTAATCATGTCCTCTGTTAGTGTATCATTTTCTTTGGGAGCATGCTGAAAAATTGTTAAGTGACTAACATCTCTCTACTTGTATTTATACTATATTTAATTCAACTAACAAATAATTTGATGTAATCTCGCAACCGCTTCCAATGGGTTAACAATTTACAATTGGTATACAAAATAGTATGCACGGTTAAGACTCAGAAATTGTACCGTATCGATTGATGGTCTGACTCGGAAAATCTTCTATCGTAGCCCAAATCAGTATAAAATTTTACCGGTATGAAATGGTTGAATCAACTGAAAAAATGCCTTATATTTAATTAAACTAACAAATAAGTGATGTAGCCTCACAACCAGCCGATGAGGCTGTGGAAACGAAACGCGAACCTCTGGTATTAGGCCTGTCGATTTGGTTTGGTGAACCAAATCATTAAATATGAATAACCAAAAACAAAAACATGTAAATTCTCAAAAACCAAAACCAAAATTGATAAGGGTCTAATCATTTTTTGGTTAATTAATATCCGATAAGATCCTTGACGATTTTGGTTTGGTTTGGATAAACCAAAAGACTAAAAACCAAACTCATAATTTGGTAAGTCTAAAAATAAAGTCAGAAAAGACAACAAGAAATATATGAGAAGATATGAAAAAAATTATGTTACATATAAGTTGGTGACTGAAGAATTTGATGATGCGGAATAACAAGAACACGAGACAACGATTTTACGTGGTATCCTCGATCGATTGATTGATCGAGACTAATCCACGGTGAGCTCATAAGAGCTCACGGCTGATCTCTTATTAGGATTGCATCTTGACGGCTTGCATACGACAGGTTCGTAGCTAAGCTTTTAAAGAGAAAGACTTAGGGTTAAAATCCTAATCCAACAAATCAGACGAGGCCCAACAAGGCCCAATACTAACACGGTTTAAGTAACCGCAACAGTGACCACGCGTGTTATTGGTGAATATCGACTTAATTAAGGTGTTATATTGATTTTTTTTTATTTTATAAATTTTAACCGGAACCAAAATCATTAAGATGTTAAACGTTTTACCAAAAATCGGCTCAAAAAATGGTATGTGCGGGTAAGAATGATGAGACTGATTAAGCTGATTTCCACGGCTAGTTGGAGGGTTCTAATCTTCAATCCCACCAACCATTGTTAAATATGCTCGATGCAGATCTTAGTTAGGTGGTGGTTAATTTAAGGGCCGAGCATCCTGTAATTCACCGGTTGGACGATACCTGTCAATACAGTTCATTTGCAATTTAATATATGAGTTTTGTTATCACATCAACAATTTCATAACCTCTAGTCCTTCATCAATCTTTGACAACTCCCAAGCCTCCATCTAACCCAAGCTTGCCTTTCCATTTATTTTAGGTCACTCTCGTCACTCACTCAATTTATTGTTATTCTCGTAACACAAAGAAACATTCACTCTTTTTAGTCATCTCTCTGACTCTAATCCATCGAATCAAAAGATTACCAAGGGTAAGAAAGTTATACATCACCATCTCCTCCCTTCTCTTTGTCTCTCCCTTAGCTCTAGGTAAAATCAAGACTATTTGTCTAATCTTTTAGCCCCGATTGGAAATATGTGATAAATCCTTTCAATGTGGATTTTGATTAGTGTTTATTATACTTTTCTCACATCAACTTCTCATCACTAAGATTTTCAATCATGAAATTAAACATACAAGTATACACCATATAAAAATGTTTGGGATTAGTAGTGTTTGAACCATTATTTATTTATTAATATATTTAATTATTAATTGCGAAGATAATCAATTTTATATTTGACAACATCAATACTTTATCAAAATATTTTGGAATTGAGAATAGCATAAGGTTACTATAATAACCAAAATCTCAAATATTTTTTTGAAGTAGTTCAATAGAGTTTTGCTTAAATAAAGTAAAACGTACATTAACTTGTTTTGAAAATTGAATTTTCTGAGACATAGTCATGATTTCATAAATAAAAAACAATTCAAATGTGTAAAAAGGAAATGTTGCATTTAGTGTCTAAATCCAATACTGTGGGTGAACGGATGGAAAAAAAAAAATTGTGCCAATTTTTTTAGCGCTTCAAATAAACTTTTGATTGCGTCATTGTATGTGAGTGTCACTTCTCAATGACAGGAATCGTTAGAAACTTTCGAAAATGATTTGTCACAAAAAAAATGTGTGTACTAAGATTATATGTATACTAAGAAAAGAAATTTAAAAAATGCTTGAATTGTTCATTAAATTAACTATGAATACTTTGATCCGACAAAGAATATGAGACTCAATATACATCTATGAATACTTCATGTATTCTCGGTACACGTACTACATACTTAAATCAAGTAAAAAAAATGTTGTATTATGTAGGATACATGTATACTCAAAATACCATAATTAGAATTGGAAGTTCCAAATGTAGATACCCTTAGTGCAAGTGTGTAAGTATTCGGGTTTAGACTTTAGAGTAATCTCACATTCTTTTTGGTTCTTACCTTAACACGAGAATGTTGAATTTTTTCCTCTCCTCTTTTGAACAGTAGATTTACGTAGTGAAAAGGACTGAAGTGAAAAGGCACACACAAAGGCACGGGAAGTGGGGGAGTTGGAGAAGATGCCTTTTGGAAAGTGGCCATGTTTGTTTGTTGTTGAAAGACTAAGAAAGACACCAAACCAATCTTCAGCCACTTGAATTACCAGTTTGCCAAACAACAGTGAAACTCAAGACAAACAAACCCACAAAGAGGAGCCATTAAGCCATACTTCCAAAGCAAAGCTCTTTCTCTCTTATGGGATGGTGACCCCTTTTTTGCCACCATTCTTCTTTCATCTTTGTTTCTTTGGCTTTTTGGCTTTGGGGTCACACCCACCCACCCCACAGAAAGAGTAAAGCCCTCTGATGGGGTTATATGTTTCTGGGTCACTCCTTCAACACAAGAAAAGAATCATTCATTTCAATTTTCATCCCTCCTCCCCATCTCATGTATTTGACCAATTTACATCTATGGTCACTGGATTTTGGGGTCACCAGGACATTGATCACCAAAATTTTTGCAATAAATAACTACTTTCTTCTTACACGCCTCGTCAAGCGAAAGTCCGTTCATGGGTTTGAAGTTTGCACGGGTCCGTCATACAATGTGCTTCAAGACAAGGGTTGATATTGGGGGTCGTGGAAATTTGAACAGCTCTGATACCAGGACATAAACCAATTTGTCACAATAACTCGAGTTGTTGAGAGAAGTCCATCCATGTATGAATTCAAAACCTGGACTACGCATTCTAATCTCATACTTGATCACCACCAAATTCATTAGAGGATCCAATGTTTAAACCATTACAAGTGAAATCACAGTGATACGCAAAACTCAGACAAATCGACCCGATGAGAATGAGTAGAATGGCTATCATGTAGGGGTGACCGTAACGGATTCGGTTTCGATCATAATAAACCGAAAACTAGAAAACGAATCTTTGTTTGCATTAATTCTTATCCATTGATTTACGATTTTAACCAAAACTGTTTAGAGCTTATCGGTTTTTACCCAATAAGATACATCAATCAATAAGTCTATAAAATCGGTTCGATTTCGGTTGAAACCAAAAAAATCGAACCGCCACACCTACCTACTATCATAGTATCATGTAAGTTGTTCTAAACTTCAATTGCAAGATTCATGGAAATTGATAGCTTGAGTGACCATTCATGTAATTTACCCATAATTAAATGACTGCTACATCCCTCCCCTCCTCCTCACTAACTCAACTGTCAACTCCACCACCAAACCAAACCTTAAAAGATAAAAATTACAATCTCCTTCCTTCCCTTCCAAATTCCAATTCCTCTTCCCAAATCTCCTTTTACTCAAAACTTCATTATTATTGTATCTGTCTCCACAGTTCCGCTGTAATTCTTTCTCCTCTTTATATACACAACACACACATAAACCATATCCCACTGCTTTCTCTCTCTCCTCTGTTTTTTCCCCCTCCTCTGTTTCCTTCATTAAATACCTTCTGCTGCTATAATGTGGAGTTGTTGGCTGAGCCCTCTGTTTTCCACCTCCTTCTTCTTGTGAAATGGGAGCCTGAGAGAGAAGCACGCCATAAATTTCCCTTGCTCCTGAATTTTCCTGGGTTTTTGGGGTGAGGGTTTTGCTGAAAGAAGAGAAAGAAACTGTGATGATAGAAATTGGAGGAGGTGAAGAAGAAGATTGAAAGTGAAGCTGCAGACTTTTCTTGGTGTGGCCAAAAATGGAGACCAAAGGAACCTTGATTGCCGGCTCTCACAACAGAAACGAGTTTGTTCTCATCAATGCCGACGAGGGTTCCAGAGTAATTCCATCCTTCTTACTTTTGCTCTGTTTTTTTCCCCCTTCTTCTTCATTGCCTGCAATTTCAGCTTGAGTCGAAAAAAGATTGTTGCTTTCTGCCCTTTCCATTTCCAGCCACCAGTTTACTAAGTTTGGCTGACCAATAATTGCTGCAATTTTCTTTCCTGTTGTGTAAAAATCATTTCTTCTGCTGCTGTAAGTAAATTCTCTGCGGTTTTTTCCAAATCCAAGGCTGCCATTTTTGCATAAGAATATGAGTTGTTTCAGGAGAAAAAGGGAAGAGCTTGTTTGTTTGTCTTGTTCTTTGGCCGGCTGCCCATCTCCCCCATTTTTACTCTCCAGCCGTTTCCTTTCTTTTGCCCAAAATCTAGATTTCAGAGCTGGTCAAACAGCCTTCTTTCGCCTTGCACAATTTTTCACTAATTTTGTTGTTATCATAAGATTTTCAAGTACCATTTTAGCATTATTATATCATTAAGCTTAGATTAGATTAATGATCAATAATTAATCTACTAACTGACTATTAATGATGTCTTTAAGGACAGTGCTAAAATTCTGTTACCGACAATAATAGCAGGTGTCAATTTCTTGGTGTGTTGTGGAATTTTGAGAGTCAGTCCATTACTATATATAAAATTTCTATATAATACATGTATTTGTTTTCCCAAGAAAAAAATCACCATTACTATAATCTGTTACTGGGTTTAATCAATTAACAAACTGGATCAAACCCAACCTAACAAAGTTACAAAAAGGTCCCTCTAAATGTAGTAACTTCCAATGACCACTTTTCTACCCTGCTGTCTCAACTGACTCATATGGGAAAATGACAATTGTGTTTGCAGGTGACTTCTGTTACAGAATTAAGTGGGCAGATATGTCAGATTTGTGGTGATGAGATTGAGCTTGCAGAAACTGGTGAGCCATTTGTTGCCTGCAATGAATGTGCTTTCCCAGTATGCAGAACTTGCTATGAGTACGAGAGAAGGGAAGGGAATCAAGGTTGCCCTCAGTGCAAAACCAGATACAAGCGCCTCAAAGGTTTGAATTCTCTTGCAACCCTTTTATCTCCTTTGAGTTTGGAATGTGGGATTGCGAGCTTAAAGGTTGAAACTTTCGTCATTTGCTCAGGGAGTGCTAGAGTTGAAGGTGATGAGGATGAAGAGGGTATTGATGATTTGGAGAATGAGTTTCATATTAGAGATCATGGTTACAGTAGAGACCCTAACAACATTGCTGAGGCCATGCTGTCGTCTCGTCTCAACTTTGGCCGATACCAGCAGTATAGCGATTCAGGGCTTGGTATGCCTTTGGAGAGGGATTATGCTGGTTCCTTGAATCCCAAGGTTCCTCTCCTGACTTATGGTGAAGAGGTAAAAAAAAAAAAGGTTTCACCTTTTCTTACAGTCTTGGTTTCACTGCAATGTTGATTTCGTTGTTTCAACTATCGATGTTGAATGTGGCAGGATAATGGGATTTCGTCTGATAAGCATGCCCTCATCATCCCACCATTTCGTGGGAAGCGGATCCATCCGATGCCCTCTCTCGATCCATCAATAACTAGTGAGTTGGCTTCTGTTTTCTCACTGGTGTTTGTGAAGTGATGAAGAAATCAATTGTTCATTGTGGTTTGCTTGTTTGCTCAACGGCTGCAGCTCAACCAAGGCCAATGGACCCCAAAAAGGACTTGGCGGTGTATGGTTATGGAACGGTAGCTTGGAAGGAGAAGATGGAGGACTGGAAGCGAAAACAGAACGAGAAACTTCAGGTGGTTAAGCATGAAGGAGATGGTGATGGTGGAGATGACTTTGATGATTCTGATCTGCCTATGTAAGTTCTAAGTAGCTGCTGTTTGTCATTCAGAATTCCTTCCTGGTTTTGAACATGTCCTTGTATTCATTCATTCCCATGATTTTGACAGCAGGTTGTTTGGGAAATGGACTCTTACATTTTGATTGGCTGTTTGTTTCTGTTGTCAACTGCTTGATTCTGATAGAAAGTTGCCTGAGAAAGCGACTGCGCTCCTAATATTTTTGTTTCTTCTGCACATAGTCAACCATAGTACAATCACAATGAATCAGTTAGAATATCCCATCACTTCTAGTGTCATCTGGATGTAGGATTTGGGGAGATGAAAGTGATACTTCATTTTCTGCTGCTAAATTCTGTAACTTTGAACTTTGTCAGGATGGACGAAGGAAGGCAGCCATTGTCAAGGAAGCTACCAATTGCAGCAAGCAGAATAAACCCATACCGCATAATCATTATCCTACGTCTCATAATCCTCGGCCTATTCTTCCACTACAGGATCCTCCATCCAGTTAATGATGCCTTTGGTCTCTGGCTTACATCAGTCATTTGTGAAATATGGTTTGCTGTTTCATGGATACTAGACCAGTTCCCTAAATGGCACCCCATTGAACGGGAGACATACCTCGATCGATTGTCTCTGAGGTATGAGAAAGAAGGCAAGCCATCTGAGCTAGCTCCCGTGGACATATTTGTTAGCACGGTCGATCCTTTGAAGGAACCTCCACTGATCACTGCAAACACGGTTCTCTCGATTCTCGCTGTGGACTATCCAGTCGATAAAGTTGCGTGCTATGTATCGGATGATGGTGCAGCTATGCTTACTTTTGAAGCACTCTCCGAGACAGCCGAGTTTGCAAGGAAGTGGGTCCCGTTCTGCAAGAAGTTCAGCATTGAGCCACGTGCACCGGAATGGTACTTCTCGCAGAAACTTGACTACCTGAAGGATAAAGTCGAACCAGTATTCGTCAGGGAACGTCGTGCTATGAAGGTTTGTTGTTGCATTCTGTGTGTGGATTCATTAGAAGATGTTCAACTGTTGCTTGCTAGCATTGTATGAAAATTGGAAGGCTAATGTTTGCAGAGAGAATACGAAGAGTTCAAGGTTCGAATAAACAGCTTGGTCTCGATGGCACAGAAGGTTCCTGAAGACGGTTGGACTATGCAGGATGGAACTCTGTGGCCAGGAAACAATGTTAGAGATCACCCTGGAATGATTCAGGCAAGCTATACATTATTTTGTGAAATTTCATTTATGTTTACTCATGAAATATTTTCAAGTGATTCTAAAACCGAACACTCTTCTTTTCAGGTTTTCCTTGGTCAGAATGGAGTTCGAGATCTGGAAGGCAACGAACTCCCTCGTCTAATCTACGTCTCTCGTGAGAAGAGACCGGGATTCGAGCATCACAAGAAAGCAGGAGCCATGAATGCATTGGTTAGAGTGTCGGCAATCATATCCAACGCCCCTTACCTGCTCAATGTAGATTGTGATCACTACATAAACAACAGCAAGGCGCTCCGGGAAGCAATGTGCTTCATGATGGATCCGATCTCTGGGAAGAAGATCTGTTACGTCCAGTTCCCTCAGAGGTTCGATGGCATTGATCGACACGATAGATACTCCAATCGCAATGTGGTGTTCTTTGATGTACGTTGGGTCTCACATTGGTTTACAACGTTCTTCAACTCACCTGTTGGTGAAGTGACTTGAGTAACATGAACTGTGTGATTGATGTGATTGCAGATTAATATGAAAGGGCTGGACGGGATTCAAGGGCCGATCTACGTAGGAACCGGATGTGTGTTCAGGAGGCAGGCATTGTATGGGTACAATGCTCCAGTGAAGAAGAAGCCACCAGGGAAGACTTGCAACTGCTGGCCAACATGGTGCTGCTGCTGCTTTACTCTGTGCAAATCTGGAAGGAAGAAGGGGAAGTCGAAATCGAAGCCCAAAGATAAGAAGAATAAGAGTAGTAAGGAACTTTCAACGCAGATACATGCTTTGGAGCACATTGAAGAAGGTGTTGAAGGTACTTAGAACTGTGTTTTCCAACAACAAAAAAAAAATTACAGGGATTTTGCTGCAGTTCTGCTGAATCTTGCTTTGGGTTCCTTTCAGGAGTTGATAAAGGAAAAACAATGGTGATGTCTCAAGTAAAGCTCGAGAAGAGATTCGGGCAGTCTCCAGTGTTCATAGCAGCAGCAGTGATGGAGAATGGTGGAGTTCCCAGAGGGGCAAACTCTGCTTCACTTTTGAAAGAGGCCATCCATGTTATAAGTTGTGGGTATGAAGACAAAACTGAATGGGGGAAAGAGGTATAAAACCAGTAGCCTCTTACTCTTATCAGATTCTGCAAAACCATAATTGAAATGTAACACTACTTACTTTCACTGATTCTGCAATTCATACTCTTTTTACAGGTTGGTTGGATATATGGTTCAGTCACAGAAGACATCCTTACAGGATTCAAGATGCACTGCCACGGCTGGAGATCAGTCTACTGCATCCCGAAACGGCCGGCGTTCAAGGGTTCAGCTCCGATCAATCTCTCCGACCGTCTCCACCAAGTTCTCCGGTGGGCACTGGGATCGGTGGAGATCCTGCTGAGCAGGCATTGCCCCATATGGTATGGCTACGGCTGCGGGCTGAAATGGTTGGAGAGGTTCTCTTACATCAACTCCATCGTCTACCCTTTGACTTCCATCCCTTTGCTCGTCTACTGTACCTTGCCCGCCGTTTGCCTCCTCACCGGGAAATTCATCGTCCCCTCGGTAAACCTCCAGCTCCCTCCCTCCTCCTTCCACTTCTCTTGCATTAATGAACTTACCGTACTGACAATTCAATCGAAAAACCACCTTCGTCCGAAGTCTAAACCGGTAGATGATTTTTAACTGTATGAGATGATTAAACCACGAATTCAGATCAAGCATTGTGAAATTGTACAGTAGGCTATACCGGAAAATTAGTAACAGAGTATTTTGCACACTGAAATCGTGGTTCTAACCATTTCCTACCATTAAAACTGCCTACCAATTTAATTCCAGTATGACGAATACAATTAAGATTCTTTAACATTACAAAATACCCTACTGCTATCTTTTTCGATACAACCTCTAATACGATACCTGCTTTTCTCATTGGAATGCAGATCAGCAACTACGCGAGCATAGTGTTCATGGGCCTCTTCATCTCCATCGCCGCCACATCCATCATGGAGATGCAGTGGGGCAAAGTCGGGATCCACGACTGGTGGCGCAACGAGCAATTCTGGGTCATCGGCGGCACATCCGCCCACCTCTTCGCCCTCTTCCAAGGCCTGCTCAAAGTCCTCGCCGGAGTCAACACCAATTTCACCGTCACGTCGAAAGGAGGCGACGACGGCGAGTTCTCCGACCTCTACCTCTTCAAGTGGACTTCCCTGCTCATCGCGCCGACGACCCTCCTGATCCTGAACATCATCGGAATCGCCGTCGGGATCTCCGACGCGATCAACAACGGGTACGAGTCGTGGGGCCCGCTGTTCGGCAGATTGTTCTTCGCGATGTGGGTGATTGTGCATCTGTACCCGTTCTTGAAAGGGCTGATGGGGAAGCAGGATCGGGTGCCGACGATCATTGTGGTGTGGGCGATTCTGCTGTCGTCGGTGCTGTCGCTGCTGTGGGTGAGGATCAATCCGTTCGTCGGCAGAGGTGGGCTTGTGTTGGAGATCTGTGGGTTGAACTGTGATTGAGATTTGAGTGAGTGGGAATTTTTTTTCCTGGTTGGGGAAAGATGAACTGTGAATATAGGTAAAAACAAAAAGGAAAGGAATTGAGTTTGTTGAGGAAAAAATAGGAAATAATCATCTTGGAAAGAAGAATTTATCTTTGGCGACCGGTTGAAAGAAGTGGTGGAGATTGATGATGGGGAATCATCAGTGTGTAGTTTGTGTAACAAAAGAAGTGAGAAGAAGAGGAAATTACTTGGGGTTTTTGATCCATGGTTGTGACTTGTGAAACATTGTTAGGAAGTTGTATTGGAAAATTACGTGATAGCATATTCTATATTCGAACGGTAGTTCAGCTATTTCGCACGGGTATCGTCTACTGTTTGAGTTTCGATATATGATATTTCTGATCGAATCGGACGATACGGTAGGATTTTATAAAACGTTGGTTTTGATTGATTCTTCACACACATCATTTCATATTAAGGATTTGGAGTCTTGGCTAAACTCACACTTCAAGAGTAGAGTTATCAGAATTCGAGAAGTCTATGAATTTGAAGTCTATAAATCAATGGATACCACAAAGTTTTAGTATTTCCATTTTTCTCTGACAAACATTCACTTTACCTAAATTTTATGATGTAATAAATTTAGGTGTGAAATTCATCACCCAAATCAAACAAACAAACTAAATTCACACTCGACAAAGTGCTTCATAAAAACTATAATATGAAATACTCCGATTGATGTATGGGCCATTCATGAAAGCCAGAATTCTTTACTTCTTCTCACCACTCCTACAATGACAAAAACCAAATCAATAATCATCTCGTCAAAAAAATCCTGATTAACACAAAACTATAGCTGTTACATTTTAGGAGAGTATTAAGTTCATGGTTTTGGTCTTTTGGAGTTTTACCGATATACATCCAGATCAGTAGTTTTTTGTGGATGATTAATAATTACACACCCAATCTCAAAAACGATTAAAAAACAAAAAAACAACGGCATGAGAATTGCCTTTGAACAATGTCCTAACACATAAACAACACTGATAAGTAAATCAGCAGAGGATGAGAAAACAGAGTTGCAGAAGCCTTTAATCCTTCCTCCTGGTGGCAAGTTCTTGAAGAGGTCGCCTTCTGGTGGCGCCGCCCGGAACCAAGCTCTTCGACGGAGCGGTCACGTTGCCAAGCTGCTGCCGCAGCACATCTAACTTGCTTCTTCCAGCATTTTCCTTCATATCTTGCACAAAGATTTTCCCCGTCGTCCTCCGGACAACTGCAGGTTTTTTCCTTGTTCTGAAAGCTGGTGGTGATGATGATGGTGATGCCAACTTACCCTTCATTCCTGAACCAGAAGCAGCGCCTGAAACCACAACAGGCGACACAAATATTGATAACAGGGTAAAACAGAATGGCACACATGGAAATAGGTTAGCTAATTGCATTGTTGGAGTGATTAGGAGGAGTAGTCGTTAACCGGTTCAGTCGGATTGACCGAATCGAAAAAACGCAAGAACCGGAGATTTGGCAAGGCATTTATACTTGAAAACCATAACCGAAATCGTTAACCAGTGAGACAACGAATAATCAGAAGAGTTAAACCAGAGACCGAAAACTCGATTGAAAACTTATTCACCAGAACAAAATGGTTCTCATTAACCGAAAATCATTACGATAAAAACCAGAAACCATTTGATGCATAGTGAACCGGTTTTGGTTAACGTAGAAACCAAAATCAGTTAGCTACCCTATGGAGTTACCTGGAACAGGAGAAGTTCTGGGCACTTTTGGTGATCCCAACAGCTCCAATTCTAGGCTCCATGGTGTTTTCTCTTGCTTGTCTTCACCTCTATCGTCCTCCACTCGTCCAGTTTGGGGTGATGGCAGAAGATTCTTCTCGTCATCAATGGCTGCCCCATCTTTCCCTGCGTGGTTACTACTAGACTTCTGTTGTGGGGATGATAATGATGATGGCGACAAATTATCCACCTCCATTGTTGCACTACGAGGAGACATATCGAAACAGAGAGGTGCAAATGAGTTGGCTAACGGAATGCAGAATGGAGAGGACGTTATTGATGCATCATCTGTTCCTCCAGTTCGGGGTGATGGCAGACTCGTCTTGTCATTAATGGCTGCCCCATCTTTCCCTGCGTGGTTACTACTGGCGTTCTGAGGTGGGGATGATAATGATGATGGCGGCAACTTATCCACCTCCATTGTTGCAGTACCAGGAGAAATATCAAAACAGAGAGGTGCAAATGAGTTGGCTAACGGAATGCAGAATGGAGAGGACATTATTGATGCATCATCCACCATATCACCCTCCTGCTGATCTTTAGTCATCCTTTCATTATTGTGTTCTCTTACTGCAATCCCTGGTGAGGAGGAGGCATTTTGTTCGCTGATGCTTGTCGTTACTTGATTCGCTTCTCCATCTTGGCCCTCAAAGAGTAGATTCAACCCCATGGATTCAGTTTCTTCTGTCATCCCACCACAAATCATAAAAGATACAAAACGCAATGCAGCATCATGGAAAAGAAACAAAAAAGGACTTCTGGAAGCACTTACCATGAAAAGATGCTCCAGTAGAAGAAAGGCCAGAGCTTTTGTCAAGGACTTTAGTCTCTTCAACTGCCTCGTAGTTACAGCTATTTTCAATTGAGAGACGGTTTATGACCAGCTCCTGGGTAACTTCTAAGGAGGAATCTTCTTCATTTGCTGTTGCTGCTTGCAGCTCCTTTTCCACTTCTTTAGAAACCCCTTCATAAACGTCCAGAATTTCAATATTTGTTAATCTCTCAACATCAGCCAGCCCAGAAAACTGGGGAACCTCTAAATCATTGTTGTCTGCATGGATTTTACATCAAGAAGAAAATTACAACAAAACCGACATACGGAATTCAAGTAAGTTCTAAGCCACCTGCTTCAGAATATACAAGTGTGAAGTGTCGACTGTTCAACTTAAGTTCTAGGCAAACTACTTGTAGGAAAATGACCACAGAGTGCAAATATACTCTTTCCATTACCTTTCTGGGAAGCGAGTGCCGCCTCATTAGCTTGGTTGCTAATCTCCTGGACGCATGTAGTTTGATCAGTTTCATTAATTTCCACAGGACTGTCTCTGCTGCACTCAGAAAATGTTGAACCAGGGACCCAAGTCCTTCCATTTTCCACCTTGTCAGATTTCAAAATCCTGGAACTCCTTCCTTTCTCATTCATTTCATCATCTCCACAGAAGTCCTGATATTCCTCAGCACGAAACACATTGGTGGACTCCTTCTGGCCACTGTCATCTTCTTCGGTTTCAGACATACTTTTCTCTTGATTCAATACATTCATGTCTATTAACCTGTCAACCATTAGATGCACTCTCTCTCCAACGGAAGGTGCACTTTCTTGACATAGGACCCGAATAGAATTTGCCTCTGAACCGTCATTCTTGCTCACAGTGGGATCCTTGCAACAGCTCAAATCAGCAGAGGTTGTCTCAGCTTCCTCTTTTGCTAATTGCTCCAACACTCCATCAAGAGCTTTTACCATAGACGACTGACGAGCATCTATAATATTCAGGTTATCTGAGGGAAGTGTAGAGCCTTGATTCTCAAGGAATTGTTCATAGCAATAGCTGGAGGAGCCAGGAGGGTTATCTTCCTTCCCTGAACCTTCAACTTCTTCCCCAATAGTATGTGAACAGTCCTCCCCTTTGGCAGCCTCCACGTCAGAACAGTTCCAGCCATTTTCAATTGAGGGAGGGTTTCCGTCGCAACAGTCAGTACCATCCAAGGGAACTTCTACAATTTCTAGTTCTTGCATCTCCGTTTGCCCTTTTTTACTAGACCCGTCAGGAAGTTCCATACTTTCAGTAGTTTTAGGACAATTATCAATGTCTGTTAATTTACTACTATCAACCTCCCAAGGAAGCTGAAAAATCTCTATACCATTGCTGCCTGGTTACAACAGAAAAATAATTATAATGCTAGTAAATCCTAGTTGCTTCAAGATGTATAGATCTCTGCATTTGGGTTCTATTGTAAACTCGCGAATAGATTTAGGAGATAAGCACATGCACGCTTGTGCAAAAACTTTGCATGGAGAAGACTTACTTGGGGATGCCGAAACATTCTGTAGTATCAAGGAAGGTCCACCAGTCACTTCAGATGCTGGATAGTTTCTTTCCAATTTGTCCTCGACAGTGGCCTCGTTTTCCTGCACGTCTAGGGCACCTAGATTTTGAGCAATTCCTGTTTCCAAGTCATCAATAGAAAATTGTGGTTTGTGAGTATCAAAAGCCCCAGTAATTCTAGCAGTGCTTCCTGTAGCTGCTTTAGGGGACATCATCTCAGTTTGCAGCTTCTCCAATTTCAGTCTCCTGGAGTTCCCTCCTTTCTTGTTCATGTCATCTTCGAAAGAAAAGTCATTATTTTTATCAGTTTCAAACACATTTGCTGCATTCTTAATGAACAACTCCTGACCCGCCTGTGAAAACTTCTGGTCGAAGGTAGTGTCCTCCTGATTCTGTGGAACCTCAGGTTCCGTAAATTCATAGCCAGGAATTGGATTTTTGTTGGATACAATGGGCTGATCTTCATTTCCATGGAGCTCTTCTCTTCCCTTTGCTTCCTTGAACGCCAGAGGACTTGAGAATTCACCTATGTATTCATAAGCACATCGTAAATAAAAGACTAAGTGAATGAATGAAGTTTAATTATGTCAACCATAGACCAGACTTACCAACTAACGGCAATTGATTCTCAGACGATAAATCATCCACATCAGCGGCTCTGCTTTCAATTGTAGGCTGTTCAGGTTCACCTAAATTACCATGGTTAAGCTCTTCAGACATTTCCAAATTTCGACCCAATTGCTCATCTTTGTCACCCTCAATAGCAATATCTCGGGCCCATTGATCACAATCATCTCCTGAAGGAATGGCCTCATGCCTCATAGATGCCGGGTTTCTTGAAGACCCTGCTATTTCTTCGTCCATCAACCCTCCCACTAGCTTGAATGATAGTCCACCTGAAATTTCCTTCAAATTTTCAGATCTTTCACTTGATTTGTTCCTCTCTGGAGAAACCAGACAACCTCCTTCTCCAGATGAATGGAGTAAATCCAGTTTCTCTTTAGATAAGACAGACACGAAACCAACGTTTACTTCCTCTTTAACTTCAGTGTGATTTTTTTCACTGTGAGCGTATGATCTTGGCAGTCCTTGATGTCTGGAAGAACCTACCAACTTGGAGAATGATAGAGATGGAGTTCCCTCTATCTTTTCCCCAGTATCAACAGAACCTTTATCAGGTACAGATTCCGACTGGCCAATTTCTACTACTTTCGTGGGCGATTCTTCTACGGGTATTACGTTCTCAGCAGACTTATTAGCTTCCTTGGCTGTAACCGGCAATTTGATAGTAGTATGTTGCTCCTTCTCAGCTGTTTTTCTAAATCCAGGAGATCCAGCCTTGCTGCTTTTCAAGTTAACTCGTGCTGATTGTCTAAGCTTACCAACCACAGATTCCCTCTTAACCACTTGAGTACCCAGACGAGCTCGCTTTCCTTTACAGCTCTGCCGGTCAATCTCTCCAACAACATCAGTAGTGAATCCTGTTTCATTTGAAGTATGCCTAGATTCATTGGTTGGTTCGACATCATTTCCAGAAACTTGTTCACCAATTTGGCAAAGGCTTCCAACAGCCTCTATAGTTCCCACTGCATTATCTTCACAAATAGGACTCAACACTGAAGTCTTCCGCCTGGATCTTCGGAGATTGCCAGTTGGTAAAGGAGCCTTCTGGGCCTTAATGTTCTCCTTTGAAGTTGCAGAAGGCTCAATTTCCATAATCACTTCCAACCCCGAGTTTCTTAACAGCGTATCAGCCTTGCGTTTCAACTCTTTTGCATCAGTTTCACTTAGACCAGAGAAATTTCTGACGACGGCCTTGGCAGATTCTTCCAACCGAAAAGCTTCAGATTTTTGCACTTCGTCAAGGTTAGTATTCCGCCTGGACCGTCTGAGATTTACAACGGGTGATGAAACCTTCGACAGATTATCCACTACAGAAGCTTCATCCACCATAAATACTTCCAACTTGGAGTTACTAGACACATTACTAGGAAAGGCTTTCCCTCTTAACTTTTCTTGTGCACCTTTGGACTTATCCTCCTTAAGAACACCAAATTTCTGTCTGGTGGATTTCCTGTTCACGTGCTTGGGTATTTCCTCCACTACAACGGACTTGTCATCTCCCGCTTCATCAACTGGATTAATAGCCCTTAACTCAATGTTACTAGTATCCGAAACATCAGTCTTCCGCTTGGACCTTCTCAGATTTTCAGCGGGTGCTGAAGCCTTCTCAGTCGTATCTACTTCAGCATCTGCGGAAGCTTGAGCACTCACATTTACTTCTAACTCGCCTTTTCTAGAACGCTTACTTGTTTTTCCTTTCAGCTCCTGTTCAGCACTTTCGAATTTATCGGTTTGGGTCACTAAACATTGCCGACGAGAAGGATATCCTTCTGCTCCCACAGGGCATTCCCCCTCGATGGGTACCTCATTATGATCTTCTTTTTTGACTGCCGAATTATTACAAGTGGACTGGCTTCTGCTTCTAAGCCTTGTGATCCTCCCTCTCACTTCACTTGATTTTGATTCTATGACCAACGTGGGTATTTCCTCCACCACAACAGACTTGCTATCTCCCACTTCGTTAGCTAGATTATTAGCACCCAAAACAACACCCTTGCGCCTGGACTTTCTCAAATTTGCAACGGGTGCTGAAACCTTCTCAATAACATCTTCTTTAGAAGCTTCAGCATTCGTGTTAGATCCCAACTCAATGTTAGTAGTACCCAAAACAACAGTCTTCTGCCTGGACCTTCTCAGATTGCCAGCAGGTGCTAAAGCCTTCTCGGTCTTATCGTCTTTAGCATCTGCAGAAGCTTGAGCATCCATATCTGATTCTAACTCACCTTTACTAGACCGTTTACTGGTTTTGCCTTTCAGCTCTAGTTCAGCAGTTCCGAATTTGTCGGTTTGGATCACTACACATTGCCGACGAGAAGGATATCTTTTCGCTCTGTCAAGAGATTCTCCCGCATCAATAACATCGCAGTGATCTTCTTCTTCGTTGACTGCCGAAGTATTACAAGTGGACTGGCTTCTAGCTGCACGCCTTGTGATCCTCCCACTCACTCCACTTGATTTCGATTCCGTGACCAACATGGGTTCAGAATCTGTGCCCTTGGGGGCATTTCTTTTCCGTCTTCGCCCAACATTTCCAGGTTCATCTTTCTCCAAGTTCTTGGAAGCCTCATCCACATGAACACAAGGGTTAGCCTTTTTCACCTTAGCACTCGCCCTAGTAGTCCTACCTTTCTGTTTGCAAGCAGTTGGCTCATATTCTCGCGTTTCCACTTCAGGGCTAAACCTCACTCGCTTCCGGGGAACTTCCGTATCATTCTCCTCCTCGTCCAAATCTTCACCTTCGTCTTGGCTTCGTCTCACCGGAGCTTCGTTCACCTAGAGCCAAAAAGCAACTATTAGCGTTTCTTACATCCCTACTCATCTTCCACTGAAAATTCAAGTTTGTTTCAGGAAATTGAATCTGAATTTCTTACGAAAAGGAAACCCTAGTTTCAATCCTACCAATCAAGTCGGACCCGTGTAAGACTGAACAACAAGCACAATTTTCCACATAGACTCTTAAGTTTTCTTAGAGGCGTAACTGACCTTAAGGGCTATGGTCAAGAGAAGCGCCAATTCCCGATTGGTCTTGTTCGCCGGAATCCCGTGCTTCTTGCAGAGAGCTTGAAGCTCCTTCCTCTTCATGCTTCCGAACTCCATCTCTGCCTCCGCCGCCATGGCAGGACATTCAAGAAAACGAAAGAAGAATCGAGAGATTCGATCTCCGATCTGGTGGTGGTGGTCGTCGTCGGTAGAGAGAAGTGGAGTGCCGATGAGCAGGATGCCGAAAAGGCAGTGGCCGTTGGTCAGATCTTGGTCTTGCCTACTGTTCAAATTTTAGATGACGGTACAGATTTTTTTCCCGCTCTCGAGGATAAGAAGAAATTCTCCACACCCACGCGCTCTAAAGATGTGAATTTGTTCAACTCGCTCTTAGGGAGTGCCAGCTAAGATTGATGCGGAGTAATTTGAAATTTTGGTTTTGGGAAAAGGCTGGAAGAGCGGAGCGTGCGGGAGCGCAAGCCTTGGGCCTTAGCTTTTTGTTGAATTTCAAATTTGGTACAGACGTGTTTTGTACGTTTGTATAATGGGCCTGGATAGGGCGTCAGGAAATGATGCAGTCCAATAAGAAAACATCCAATGAATGTGGGTTTTGTTGCAGCCCATTAAGTTATCAATTCTAGAGTGGAGAGTGTTTGTACTTTGTTCTCAATGAATTATATTTTTTTTATACAAAAAAAATTATATATTTAGAATATCGATAGAGTACACTATTTTAATTAAAATATTATTTAATAACATACTAAATTTTGGAGAAAATACTTCATACTTATAAACATAAAATTAGAAAAAATCCAGCTGAGTATATTTAGAAAGGAAATCAAAACTTTTAATAAGCCAATTAATTTAGAAAATTGATTGTTACTATTTTTATTCATAAGTGAACTACTATATCATGTTAAGGAAAGATTCACTATATTATGTTTAAAATTTTGGTATTAACTCGGTATTTGATAATATCAAATAATGATAAATTTGGTGCGATATTTGGTGTATCTCTAATATTGATACCACGAAAGACCAAACACAAATCTCGATGGTGAAATTTTTTGGTATTTCTACATGTGATTCCTCTAGTACGAACAAAATTTTGGACATTACAATCCTTGTGGTTGACTAGTGACTTTCCAAGTAATGGTTAATTACTACTCACTGGAGAACTTCATGTTCTACTTCATTATAGGCTTTGTTCTAACCAAATCGATTATTGTCTGTTCGTTGTCCATGTTTAAAAGGCCATTACATTTGGAAGGTTTATACACACACAATGACTTAACACATAACTGCATGTTAAGTATCATTAGCTTCGGTTCAATAATTTACTAATTAATACTTTTGTGATGTGTGTCCGGAAGTTTGAAAAAAAAAACTTATTCAATCGAAAACTATATTTGTATCCTAAAAGCTAAGATTATTGAAAATTTTATTTCGTTCTATAATAACATCCACTTTCATTCAAAACAAAAGTGATATTCATTTATAAGTTTTTATGTAAACCGTTGCGTAAATTATCCGGTAAAAGTAAAACCATATCTATGTCAAGACTTCTAGTCAAGTCATTAATCTAAAGAAGACTGTTAGGCTTACATTAAAGACACAAAGACAGTGAATGAACACAATTACGTTCCAGAACAACAAAAATAATATTCTCATGATGAACATAAAACTAGAAACAGAGGATTCCATACATAGCTAAACTGTAACCGGCGGTGCACTTGAAATTGTGGATGAAGGAAGAACCAGTACTTCACTCCTGGATGCGTTCAACCTCAAGGGAGCAGTACTAGTACTACTAGCACCGGAGAAACCCTCATTCCGCCGGCCACTCGAACCGCGGCCACCGGAAGACATCGATGAAGAAAGGTTACTATTGCTACCACCTGAAGTTCCTCCATCGGTCGATGATGGCGCAGAGACGACGTAAGTCGGGACAGGCATGTTCAATGGCAGCAGAGGCACAGGAGCACCAAAATTGAGCACCTGAAGAGCTTGTCTAGCCGAGAGCCTAAAGTCAGGATTTGGGTGAGCACAAGCCATGCCAATCACCATCAGCCTCTCCATCTCACTCTCTTCAAACTCCCCGGCGCCCAATCTCGAATCCGGACCTCGATTCAGCAAATCCCCATTCCCATGGAGGTCCCAAACCCATCGAACCAAATGGACCGCATAGGCTTCATCATCGTCAGGGTGATGATATTCGATCACCGCGCAGTCCTTCTACCAGTAGCAATTTCGAGCGCCACACGACTCCGAAGCTGTAGACATCGGTCTCCCGGCTCGCCTTCCCTGTAGTGGCGCGCATTCGGGAGCCATGTAGCCCATTGTCCCTGCCAGAATCGTGGTCTGCGACCCCTTCTCGTGGTCCACCAGCCTCGCTAGCCCGAAATCGCCCAGTTTCGGATTAAAATTGGAATCGAGGAGGATTGTTGCTGGACTTGATGTCCCCGTGGTCCGTCTCCTGAGCTCGTTGGAAGGAGATCAGACCTAGAGTTGGAACAAGAACATAATAATGGTCAGAGTGAGACTCATCAGTTGCTCAGACGTACGATCGTAGGTGCGTGCGTGCGAGCTGTATAATGCACAGCTACGGCGAAGCGCATACCGCATCTCCCTGGAAGTGAACTTTGAAACTATTGAGTAACGTTCATTTTCTCAACATAAATTAGACTATTCCTCGATTATAGTTTTGAGCTGGTATAACTTTTCCCCAGAACGCTTACTGAAACCCGGAATGAACATCAATCTATCAAAACCATTAGTTGGATAATCGCCGATCGCTAGCTGGGCTTCAAACGTTGAAGCCCTCGGCACGAAGGCACAAACGATGCGCCTCGATCCATTTTGCACAAGCTGACTCACCGTGCTCCACCATGCATTCATCACGCAGCCTCTTGGTCTCCGGGCAAGCACAGCAGATCTTCTTCTTTGGCTTGGACTCTGGAACGGGCTTCGCAGTTTCAACACCTTGCATTGAACCTGACAGAGCCAGGGCAGGGGCAGAGTTCTGCAATGGAAGCGTAGCCATTGTTGGCAACTGGAGAAGTTGAGCCAATAACCTGAAATACGCACGAGGGAGTTCAAGATAATGAAGGGATGAAAAATAAGGTGGTAAGACAACACATAACACGGGAAGAACGCAAAATGATAAAGCAAACAGGAACGTTTAAGTGTAAACACATAGTTGTGTGTGAAATGTAACAACTTTACTCGGCCTGCAACCAGTTTGCAGTCCTGCTTTGATTGTCTATGAGTTTCTAGAGAAAAACAAGAACTCTCGTACTAGTATGGGTTTCTCCTCCACAAGCAGAAAGTTGAGAGACAGGCCAGGGGGAGTACGTTTTACCAGCCACAATTACAATTCGCAGTTCACTAGGCCTCGAAACTAAAGTTCCATCAAGTCTAATTATCTATCAGAACTCATTATGAAACCAGAGACTCTTAAAATTATGATACAGACATCCAACCCACAAGGACTGCATATATAACAATGAGAATGCAACCCACAAGGAGTGCATAAACCCATGATCAATAAAAGAGACTACTGCTTTCATGGACCAGTATAATTTGAAGAAACACTACAGCAAAAATAACCTTGGAAAACAAGTAACTAATGAGTGATGACACCTGAGTCTTCAGGAACAGGTATGGATGAACTAAAATACTGTGGCATGGCATCAATCTGTCGATTCCTAAGTCGGAAAATGAGAGGAAGTTGCAAACTTGCAATGACATTACCAAAACTAAAAAGTATCTGCGACATAGGAACCTCTAACAGCAACAATGGAGCTTGCTTTCTGATCCCTAATACTATAAACCCACATCAAAGAACTAAGCTTTCTGCTGAGAAAAGAAAAAACCCTCTTAAACAAGAATCACCAAGTTCCAGCCAGTCAATCAGAATGCCCCAACCATCCAAATCAGGAACATCTCACAACCGTCTTCCCCAAATCCTCACGTTCTAATCTAATTCGGCTTGTTCATTCCACAAATTTCAAAACCCTAGAATAACTTAACAAGTCGAAAGCAGAAAAGAGACTAATTAACATGTAAAGAAAGAAACTTTAGAACGAAACCCAGAAAAGGAATCAGTATGGCGGTTTGGGGACACCGTGAATCAGGTAAAATCAACAGAAGCCATAAGAGCACCGTTTATGTTCAGAAGCGATCAGGGAAAACAGACACAGAGAGAAGGAGCACGAAGGTAAAGAAACAGCAAAGAGAATTTGCCTGCTTTTGAGTGAGCGACCGAGAGAGAGACGACGGGATGATGTAAACAGCAGGCTGCTGGGGAAGATGGGAGATTAGAGCGCTTCGGCGAGAGGCAAAAGGCGAAGGTTCGGCGTCCTTCTTTTTTTCCCCCTTCACTTCGAATGTGTTTCTAGTCGGAACTTGGAGGGCTCATCTATGGTTTAACACTTAACTACGTTGCATATTAATCGGTCACTCATGTTTGGTTTGTGCAACATGAAATTCTTATACGAATTAGCTTATGTTGGTTAATCATCAATTAATAATCAAACAAATAGTCATTATATTATAAAAAAAATTTATCTAAATTACATACATAGTTTCAGTAATTTTCATTTATCGTGAACTCTAGTAAACTATATAATGCACAACTAAAATCTTAACACGTCTGAATTACCGAACTTATCAATTTGCGGAATGAAGAATGTGAGTGTTTATTTGTATTATATGAGTTACGATGTGAATTTTATGGGTTTTTGTATGACAATACGACAATGTTGGAGACTAGCCCTTGATTTTGCCCATGGTCAAATCTCATATCGATAAATCACGAGAGGGATCTACGATTCATAAGAAACATCCAACATTAATTGACAACACGAGTTTTGAGATGAAATGAACGAATCCTTGTAATAACTTCGAGATTAATGTGTTGAGTTTAGGGCAGTGCAAGGAAGGGTAGGGGAGGTCGGGAGGGTGTATGTAGTAACACGTTAGACAAATCTCACATTAAAAAAACACGATAGGGATATATAATTCACAAGGAACATCCCAGCTTTACTAACAAAACATATTTTGGTGTGGAATAGAAGAGTTTTTGCACGAACTCCAAAATTAACACATGCTCATTGTGGAGTAGTGCAAGGATAAGTGACCTCCAAAAACCTCACCATGATATGCATGATGCATCCAAAAAGTAAAACCATATATAATAGATTCAAATCGTACAATATCTTTGTCATAAAGGGTTGACATGTTACAAAACTAATTGATAATTATTACCAAAAAAATAACGATAAAGTTTAGTCCAGTAAGCATCCTATCAACTTACTCAAGCTTTTGGTCTTAAGCATTTGATCCAATGTCGGTGTTGGATTGTACGATTTCATGCTAACCAAAACACGACTTCGATCAATCGACACTGTCCATCAAAACACATCTTTTTGTTAATTAGTCAATTATTTTCAAGACCTAAAAATTTATGATATATAAATCAGGTAGGTTATTAATAATGACATTGATCATTGGTGGAGCCTAGTATGAGTTACATGGACTATTTGTACTTTACAATATGAAATTCTAATACAAAATTAGGTTGCATTTGGCGTAAAATAGTACCTGTAATAATAAATTAACCAACAACAAATTGGTCATAAAAGAGATGATAACAAATAATCTTATTATTATTTAAACTAAATTATGATATCGACATACTCATATTTCTTGATCTAAAAATTCTTACACATAAACTTAACCCACTTAATCATGTGGTCATATTGGACCATCATACCATATTCTAACTCGAACTGAACAACATAAATCAAATTTATTCAATGAAACACATTTGCAGTATTTTTCATAACTTATTTTCGAAAAACTTGCCAAAATTTAGGTCGGATTAGAATTTAGAACTATCCTCCCAATCTCAAATGGCAATCCAATATATGAAACTAGGCCGGCAAAACTACAAAAGGCCAGGGTCCCCCACCACCGTCAACCCTATTCGAAAGACTGGAAGTACGCTGTATGAAAGTTTGGAGCAATCACATAGGAGAGTTTGGAGATTAGGGAAAGAGAAGAATAGGGTAGAGAGAGATATAAGAGTAGAGAGAGACTAAGGACGGACGGACCTTTGCCTTACCCTTAGCTTTTTAGCTTTAGCCATTAGCAGACGCTCGATCTAATTCACTTCTTCCGTCCTTCTTTCTATTACATCACATCTCCCCACCTCGCTCTCTCTGCCTCTCTCTTACTCGGTCGCTCTCTCGTAGGCAAGCTCTCCTCTTTCGGTATATTCCCATCTCATCTCGCCGCGCAGCTTTACCTCCTTCTGTTTCTTGTCTTTCGTCGTCATCTCCTCCTTCCTGCGCCTTGTACACTCGTGTGTTCTGTTTCTTGATAGAAATTCAATGGTGGGCTTATGTGCTCGGGGTGTGGGGATTGGTTGGTTTACAGCTTCCCGGAACCGCCAATACTGATTGCTGTTCCGGTTTCGCGCTAAAGTTTTGTTCTTTTCTCTTTTTCATGTTCTTGTTCGTCTCTGTTCTGCTTTCGGATGGGGAAAGCTCTTCTAGGGTTTTGAATTTTCGCTCAAAGGGCGAGCTGAATTAGGTAGTTCGTGGGGGGGAATGTTGTGGGATGGTTTCTTGATATGAATGGTTAATGGTGTTTTGAGTGACTGGGCGAAGTATGGTTGTTTGTTTCAATTGGGGGGTTGTTGTCAATTCGAAAGCTTGATTCTTGGTGTCTCTGTTTATTTTGTTTGGGATTCTGGGATTTGTCGCCTTTTTTGGGTACTTGATTGGTAGTGCATCTCAGAATGAATCACACTGAAGTGGGATGTTAGTTATTAGAGCGTGTGTTTATTTTTTTCGCTCCAAGAGGAAGCAACAGGGGTCATTACTTGCGTTGTTCTTAGTGGTGGAGCTTGTGGATTAATTGTGGTTTCAATCTTCTGCAGGCTTTACTCGAAATGACTGAGCCCTCTAAAGTTATCCATGTTCGCAATGTCGGGCATGAAATTTCTGAGGTATATCTCCCTCTCCCTCCTTTTATGTTTCTATCTTTCTCATTCTTCAGCATCACACTAAGCTCACTGCAGTAATGACTGTAGTTTATGTACATTTTTGTAGCCTTCTGAATTTGTTTCACGCTTGCAAATTAAGTAGGACTTGCCTTTTTGTTTATGATCGATAAGAAGGGTCAGTGTATTATGTCATCTCATGGCACTTGAAACGATCGATTTCGTTTAATATAGCGGTCGTAGTTAGTGCATCAGCAAACACATTTTAATTGCCAATATGGTATGATATATTAGGATTTGGAAAGAATCTACTGCTCATTGTAAAGTTTTGCGCTGCAATGTGACCACGTGTCAGATTGTATATCTAACAGTACTGTTGCGTGCTCTAGGCACGTTTACTTGACATTGAACTCTGAGTGTGTCTTGAAATAAAATTTAATGACAATTTGTGTCATCCCTCGCGCAGTTGTCATGACTTTTTTGTGCTATATAGTTTTGGTGTGACTGTTGATTGTCGAGATATTATACATAATGTAAATGCACCGTCAAAAAAAGTTCTTAATTCTGAAGCAAGACTCATCATGAAATGTCATCAAACTGGAACATCTTATGACCTTGCACTATATTAGTAGTTCATTCAGACACTGTAACCCATTTCAAGTATACTTTCAAATATGGTGATCAATTAGTGAATGGCTAAGTGTGCTTGTTGCAACAAAAGATATTTATTTGGGCAGAGGTTGCTTTTTGTTCCCAGAATGGCCATATGGATTTGAACCAGTCTTGATTTTTCTATGCCTCCCTCTAATGCTTGTTGCTTTGTATTTCCAGAATGACCTGCTCCAGTTATTCCAGCCATTTGGGGTTATAACAAAGCTTGTTATGCTTCGTGCTAAAAATCAGGCATGTTTTCTATCCCTTAAACTGATAAACAAGCTTCGAAAGCAACAGATCGGATGTAGAAAAGTTAAAAAAATATCATCCAGTAGTGATTCATGTTTAGTACTCCGTATAAAATGTGCTGGTTATATATGTATCGTATACAAGTAACAGCAATCACTGATAACTTTGTTGTTTGCTGTTGTGTAGGCTCTCCTTCAAATGCAAGATGTTAATTCAGCAATAAGTGCCCTGCAATTTTATACAAATGTGCAGCCAACAATAAGGTAAATGATGAGCCCTTTTTGGTTATTTTGAGGAGCCTTGAAGGGGAACTTCATTTTCATATACGTTCTTGCAATGCAAAAACATCTATATCTACAGACATAGTTCAGTTCTTATTATCTCATCTTTGGTCGTTGGAGATTTACAAAAGTTCCTTTCTTTCAGAGGTAGGAATGTCTATGTCCAGTTCTCATCACATCAAGAGCTAACTACAATGGATCAAAGTACTCAAGGACGAGGAGATGAGGTTTGTACTCAAGCAACCTTAGGCATTTAAAAGTTCTTACTGTTAGAATATAATCCGAAGATAGTCTGAAATGTGGCTTCATGTTCTACGGACTGTTGATCCCCCCCTTTTGCTTGGTTCTCCTACTTATATGTTCGCATGATCCCAAGGCAAGCAAATGAATTGCAATTATTGTAATAATACACGAGAATGATGTTTGTTTCGTTTCTTCTTGTTTTTTTTTTTGGCGTGTTCACAACATCTCTATGGGTTGATTGAGCTTATTATAATATCTTATCGTCACCTTTGCTCCTTTCTTTGGTGTTTAGATGGTAGCCTGCTGGTTCTTAGAATGCAATTTTATTTAAGCATATGCCTTCCTACTAGTTCTCTCGATTGTAAAACACATTAAGCATGATAGGGTATTCTACTGTGAGAAGTTTATTGCATTTTCTATCAAAATTTTATAGGTTATTCTACCGTGAGAAGTTTATTGCATGCTCTATCAAAATTTCTAGGTTTGTTCTGAACTTGAGTAATACTAACTATAACTTAGATATTTCTCATCTTCCACTTTCGCTTTCTTTCCCGTTCCTCTAATATCTTCTCCTCTTTGTTATTCTTTATATCTTCTCTTCCTCATTCTCTTCTTTCTCTTGTCTCCATGTCTGGTATGTTGTTGGGCACTCTATGGATGCAGCAGCCAAATCGAATTTTGTTAGTGACAATCCATCACATGTTATATCCTATTACAGTGGATGTGCTACATCAAGTTTTTTCTCCTTATGGATTTGTGGAAAAGATTGTGACTTTTCAGAAGTCAGCTGGTCAGCTTCTTCTAGCTTCTCCTCCTATTTCTTTCTGTTGATTCTAGTTTCCGGTGTTGATAGCATTTGGTATTTGCTTTTGCGATATGTAGGCTTCTTGTCTCCAACACTTCCGCCAATGCGTTCTGGAGATTTTTGACAGTGTCTTGGTTAACTGATAATTCTTTCTTGATCATCTGGTGTTTAATGTGTTTTAGGTTTCCAAGCCCTTATTCAGTACCAAGTACGCCAGAGTGCAGTATCTGCTAGGACATCACTTCAGGTACCATTCTTTCCTTTCATGTTGAAGATCATTTGAGCTCTTACGTGGGCCTTGGTATCTGATGGGAGAGCTGCTGGGCTGGTATCTGCAGGGCCGTAATATATATGATGGCTGTTGTCAGCTTGACATTCAATTTTCAAAGTATGTACACTGTGGCCCTACTCTATTCAGTATAGTCTTTGTGGTATCTGGTGTACTTCCTTTCTGGTCCTTTTAGTTTCATCACCCTTTGTAGATTTGGTTTTTTCCTGCCTTTTTTTCATTGATTTTTGGGTTTTGTCTTTCTAGTTTGGACGAGTTGCAAGTGAACTACAATAATGATCGGTCGAGGTAAATGTTTAATCTCATTTATCCTTCCTTGTGATGTTATTGAGAATATTGGATATTGTTTTTCAATACTGACCATTGTCTCTCTTTGTCAGGGATTTTACCAACCCAAATCTACCTTCAGAACAGAAAGGGCGATCCTCTCAAGTACGATCGTGATCTATGTCTTAGATCCTTCCACAGCTTCCTTTCGGGGATCCAAGTTTTTACTGGCTCTAAAAAACTTACTAAATCCTATTTCTTGTGTCGGGGCTGCAGTCTGGATATGGAGATGTGGGGGGCATGTATGACCATCAATCCTCTGCTGCTGGTGCAGGTGTGCTATATGCCTATATCTATAAATTTACAAAATTCCGTATTCTTTTCTTGTTTAGTGCATGCTTTGTGGGCATAAATTAATCCTTCATTTCCTTTTTGTCTATCTTGCAGTTCCGTATCCTCAGGTGGGTCTCTCAAGGATGGTTATGGGTTTATTTAAAATGGAGGACTTTTGTGTTCACTTTCTACATTATCATTCCTTGTCAAACAACAGGCAATTGAATCAATACCAAATTTTCAAAACCTGCCCTTAGTTGTGTTGCTCACTTTGTGAGGCAATGGTCATAATATATGTATACAACCTTGTTGAGGATGATGCTTGAGCTGCATATGATTTATATTGAACCTGGTTTTCTATGTGAAGTTGTAACACAATATCGTGGTCCTTTTGTGGTACTTTAGATGGGGAATGCCGCTGCAATTGCTGCTGCCTTTGGTGGAGGATTGCCTCCTGGTATTAGCGGAACTAATGACCGCTGTACTGTACTTGTATCCAATTTAAACCCTGATGTAAGTGTGCTATCTGTTAATTCTCTTTGCAAATATTTGGTTTGGATTCATCCCTGGAACTGTTGATTCCCGAGGCATATTTCCACTGCTGCAGAGAGTAGATGAAGACAAGCTTTTCAACCTCTTCTCTCTCTATGGTAACATTGTCCGAATCAAACTTCTCCGCAACAAACCTGACCATGCACTTGTTCAGATGGGAGATGGCTTCCAAGCTGAGCTTGCAGTCCACTTCTTAAAGGTTTTGTTCATTGCTATTTCCTTTCACTATTTCGATCAGCTTGCCAAACTAATAAGTCAACCTTATCATTTGGTAAAATTTGTGTTTCGGACAGGGTGCAATGCTATTTGGGAAGCGCCTGGAAGTCAACTTCTCGAAGCACCCAAACATAACTCAGGGTGCAGACACTCATGAGTACATTAACTCGAATCTCAACCGCTTCAACCGCAATGCTGCAAAGAACTACCGCTACTGTTGCTCTCCGACAAAGATTCTGCACATCTCTTCCCTACCTCAGGACATCGGTGAGGACGAGATTGTGAGGCACCTGGAAGAACATGGCCCAATCATCAACACCAAGCTATTTGAGATGAATGGAAAGAAGCAGGCCCATGTCCAGTTCGAGACAGAGGAGGAAGCCACAGAAGCCCTAGTCTGCAAGCATGCCACCACACTGGCTGGGTCGATTATCAGGATCTCCTTCTCTCAGCTGCAATCGATCCGAGAAAGCTCGTGAAGCAAGGGAGAGCAGTCCTACTCAGGGTAAGGGATTGAATATGGACGTTAATGATTGTCTCTTAAGCGAAATTGGGATCTTTGGCAAAGGATAGTCATGTTAAAATGTGTGCCTTGCTGCTGATGCAAACCGTTTGTTTTTTCTTCGTGTACTGCTCTTCGCTGGCCTCGCATGGTAGATGATGGTGATTATGCTTTGTTTTGATAATTTCGATTGGATCACCCTAGTGACCTCTTTCTAAGATATTATTGTAGTACTACCTTGCTTCCAATTATTTTTGCTCGATGGTCGGTTGGATTTCAGCTATCATCATGGCTAACATGAAGAAAGAGTCGCAGACTATAGATTGGAGTTTCTTGATTTTTGCAGATAGAAGCTCCGGTTTTCAATAGTGAGAAAGTAGGGAGGCAGGGAGGGAGAGTTTTAGTTTTGGCCCAAGTTTGAGATAGAGAGATGTTTGTATCATCTTATTTGTGTATAATTCTTGGTTTACAAGTCAGCTCTTTGTTGAACCCTCCTCTCCTCTCCTCACTAATCACTATCTTCTTCTTCTTCTTCTTCTTCTTCTTCCCTTCCATCCTTCCAGGGCTTCCCTCTCTGGCCATGCTTTCTTTCTCTGTTTCTTTTCTTCCAAGCTCACCTATTAGACATTCCTCTCATCTCCATCTTTCCGCTTCTCGTCTTCTTGGTTCTCTGTTACCTCCCCTCCTTCCCTCTGTCTGTGGTTTGTGGCCAACAGGAATGAATCTTCGGTTTGCGCTTGAGGGAGAAAAGTTGATAGCTTTTGATTCGTCTCTTGAAAACCTGGATCTGGTTGTTCTTCGAGGAAAATGCGACTTTGGGTCACGCATCCAAGAAGTATCAGACCAACCGATCGTTAGCAGCTATCGCGAGCGTAACTGGATTGTTTCTGAACGAACGATTTGCTTCGAATGCGATCCACTTTAGATACTAATGATGTTCCAATACTCGAATTCTTGATGAACACCCAAATCGTTTGCAGAGCGAGGATGGTAACCACGTCCACCGATGGTTTCGTGAAGCTGTGAGATCGAATCCTACACAATCTGCGTGACGAGGCTGCTATCAGAGCATCACACGCCGCACCTTAAACTACTAAGTTCTAAACATCACACGAGCATTTAGCTGGCATTCCTCTCTCTGGTTCAGTTCATGGACGCTACTCTAATTCGGATAACGTCCTCATTTCTGCCCAAGCATCGTCCCAATTCGGTCTCTCGATCCTCGCTATGCTCCCGCAGTTGGATCAACTCGAATAGGATGCTGCTTTACCACAATTACTCCAGCGCCAGTTTCACGGTGGCGGGAACCGGCAGCGGAGGAGGAGAGGAGCCGGTGGCTTTGGACGAGTCGGCGTACGAGGCGGAGAGGTTGCGGCTGGACGCGCTGGCGCGGCAGTCGATGGCCGAAGCTTCGGCGAGGGAGACGATGGAAGCGGACGACGGCGGAGAGGCGGAGGATCCGAAAGCTTGGAAGTGGATAATCCGGAAGCGGGTCTGGGATCTGATGGAGGCCCGGAACTTCGCTCAGAATCCCCGACCCGTCCACCACCGGATCCCCAACTTCGTCGGAGCTTCGACAGCCGCTCAAAAGGTTTGAACTTTTGAAGTAGATTAGCTTTGCCAGAACTGGGATTTTTTTACTGTTTCTGGAAATTATTACCGTTGGTTAAAATTTCCTGGCAGCTGGGCGAGTTAGAAGAGTTCCAAAGGGCGAGTTGTGTGAAGGTAAACCCGGATTCACCTCAGAAACAAGTCAGGTTCCTAACCCTTTCTGGTAAACAATCTTCAACTTCACCTCTTCAGCCGGACAAAGAGCTATCAGAATAAGGGTTTTTAAGAAGAATGGCATTGTTTTGTTTTTTTTTTTTTTTTTTGCAGATGGGAAGAAGCTGCTAACTCCTCAACCTCGGTTGAGAACCGGGTTCTTCTCGGTGCTGGATCCTCATTCCAACACCGGGTTGAATCCTAGTACCATGCTCGAGGCGTGTACATCCGTTGGAGCTGCGAAATACGGGAGGCCGATTGGGTTGGATGAGAAGATCAAGGTGGATCTTATCGTCATTGGTTCGGTTGCTGTTGATCCCACCACCGGAGCTCGACTTGGCAAGGGCGAGGTAAGTGTGTAAACAGAACTCTCACCATTCTCGCCCCTTGCGATTGTCAGATTGTGTTTTCGTTCTTGCGCGGATGTTGAAAAGGGGAGGTTTTGCTGGGGTGATTGAGGTAGGGATTCGCAGAGCTCGAGTATGGAATGCTGCGGTATATGGGGGCCATTGATGACTCGACGCCGGTTGTCACTTCAGGCAAGTTTAGCTCAAGAGGAGGACGAGCCTACAGTAGTACAATGTTTAAACATGTTGCAGTTCTGAAAATGAAAGGATTTGCTTTCGTAACTGTGTTTTTCTGGAATGGCCGGTTTGCAGTGCACGATTGCCAATTGGTCGACGATATCCCAATAGATAAACTGCTGATCCATGATGTCCCTGTCGACATTATATGTACGCCAACACGAGTCATATTCACAAACACAAGGATCCCAAAGCCTCAAGGTCAGTTTGCTATCAGTGTATGCATGGTGTTGGCTTACATAACCAGAGGCATTTCAATAAATCTAAGGCATTGGCTTGCATTACTCTTTTGTTTATCTGCAGGGATCTACTGGGATAAATTGTCTCCAGAGAAACTCGGCCAAGTTCGGATACTCAGAGAGCTCAAGAGACGAATCGAGAAGGAAACTGGACACAAACTTCCTACTGGACCATCAGAGAAACTACCCCCTACCGCTCAGCGGAAGAAACGCAGATAAGAGTTCTGTAATGAAGCCATTTCTGACTCCAGCTTAAAGTGCCACTCCTGGTGTACAATGAACTGAAGAAATTTGGTACACTAGTAGTTGAAACGATTCTGTATTGTACGAAAATTGTTTCTTCTAACATTATATAATAGAGACAAGGAAATACACGAAAGAACATTATATGTAGATGAGGGTGTGAAGGACTTGGAAGCAAATAAAAAGATGCAGATGCACTGAGTACTTACCTCCTTACTCAACCCCTTAAGCACTGTTGTCTATACTAGCTGCAGATTCGCAACAAGGATTCCCTAATCCTAGATGCCAAAATCGCTGGATAACACAGTTCATTGTGAAGAAAACATTGCAAAGGTAATCTATGTCCAGGGGATGGTGAATCAAAAGCTTTTGCAGAAGAGGGACTAGAATAACTATTTTTCAGCTTTCTATCCACCTATCCCAACTCCCTTTTCTAATCAGACTGCTTCGCTGCACATTTCATTAGTAACAGTAAGAATTTTCCCATTTGGACCGGAATAGAATTTTCACGGATAGCAGAGAGATCTGAATCACGATATCAGAAAGTAGCCACATTTGCAAGATCAAATGATAAAACCAAGATTGTTGGGTAGTTGCAGTATCTTCACCAATGGTTCCTGAACTCCCATCTGAACTTAAGATGGACTTGTTCTCATATCAGTGGAAAATCAACTCCTATCTCAGACTCTCTAAATAGAATCAATCTACAGGCTGCTGTGTCGTTTAAAATTGCTGGACCGACCAGTTTGCAGACTAATACCACCAGTAATGAGTCACTGAACTAACTCATTTCCATGACACCCATAAGCACTTTTCCTTCGGAGAAAACAATATCATCCTCTAACATCACAAACATACCACTGTGAAGCAAGAAAACATACCATTAAAGATGTCAAACTCTCCTCCTTCTAGTATCTCAACAGAACAATTTTACAACACATCTGAATTTCGCTTTATATGAGTAGAAGATAAGTGCTAGCAACTACTTCTGTCCAACTTTTACCATCACACCTGGACAGATGAAAGCAAAGGAATTGGGAAACAAAACTAACGCTCACTTGTATGTAACGGGTGAACAACATAAACCACAACTTAGGTTTCAAAAGCTTCCCCGTCTGCTCTCCTTTAATCATATACCATCGTGGCGACCTTTGTAACTGCCTGGTGTCTGGAATAGGAAAAATCAAACCAGAATTAGACCCAAAGAAGCAATAGGACTGACAGAATGCCATAAGGCAGTGTTCTCAAGTTATTTTGATAAGAACCTTAATTTCAAAAGGCCAGTGAGCAAGCAACTCTCTAGTGGCAGGCTAAAGGAAGCCCTTGAACTGAAAATCAGATTCTTAATTTACCTCCATTAGAAGCAAAATTCGTATTTGGTGCAGAACTTTGAAGTTGCACTGGAATTTCAAACAACCAACGCCTGATCAGAGACCGAGGGCAACTCACTTAACAATCTTTCTCATCAAATAACACCCTCAAAGGCATTTTATTCAAGTACCACCAGAGCAAAACAATAAACGTGCTAACCAGAGGTAGCTGGTCTGGCCTTCTGTTAAACAACAACATGGGGATAGCATTTCCGCGGCACTTCCTTTACGTAAGAGTTTTAGCAACCTGCAATGAAGTGGAAAAATTGAATGCCAGCTGCTGATTAAAATTGAATTTTCCTCTACGTTAGTAGAAGGAAAAATAACATAGGGGCATAAAACTTTTGTTGTATGTGCAATCACAATTTTCCTTGCAAGACTTCAACTACTTCACTTTCGGTTCTGACATAAGTGATGAGATACAAGCAATAGAAGTGCCATCAAGACAGAAAAAATGCTCATTACATGCAAGAATTGAGCTCCCTCCAAGAAGATTTCCATAGATCAAGCATCAACGATAACCCAATATTCAAAGCATAACATGAAAAGAAGTCTACATACTGCATTCTGAAAGAGGAGCAAACACTACGGCAACCTTACAAGACACCCTGCCTAGTACTAAGGGTGTCTTCTTAGTAGTGTTTATAGGCATTTACATCGATCACAAAACAATCGTAATAATGTCACAATTTCAATATCCACTTTGAGGAATCACCAATTGAGTAATCCACTGGAAAGTGGAAACAAAAAAGAAAGATGATGTGATCATTTAGGACTTCCACTCTGCGAAACAGTAGAAAACCAGCAAATTTGAGGTGGATAGGGCAACTGATGGAACACAAACATTCCCATCTCATTTGTGTTAGAACTGGGCATCACTTTAAGTAAGCAAAACATGTTTTAAGGACTGCCAATCCATAGCTTACAGTCCCCACCATGATTGTGATTTGAGGGAAGGATACTAGAACAAATCCACGAACAACTGATCGATCATCTCAATTCAATTATAAGCCAAATTCATACGCAACTTTTCGCACCCATAGTTTTGATATAGAGGGGCAGCTGGAATCAGTAGATGATAATATCTAAAAGTTCCCTTTTGGACAAAAAAAGGTGACTGGAAGCTGGAGTCAATAACTGATAATATCTCAAAGTTCTAATTAATGGCTCCATTTAGGACAAAGGAAAAACAGTTTTAAATACAGAAATCACTTAATCTGGAGCAACTGATATGACTAAACAATCATCTAAATGTAGGTACCATACCACTTTTTGATTGTCCTGTTTCGTGTGGAACATCCAAAAGTGCCCTGTAAACTACTCCATTTTACAGCACTGTCAAGCTTGGAACGTGGAAAGGAGAGGTCATTCCATGACTAGAGCTAACTGGACAGTGGAGCAAACTCAACAACTCAAAACACAATTCCTTCGGGAACCCCAACCACAAAAATAGAGAACCACCACAATGTGCAGCAAAAAGATCAATTACTACCTCAATTCTAGGACAGCAGCAAATTGTAACTTGGATAGGATCAAGGCTAAGCAAAGCTGCTGTTTGCGCCAATATATTCGTCAATACAGAATTGCCAAAAGTGAACATTTCTAAGAGTTTGGAGAGTGATACTCAATAGGTATCAACAATAAATGGCAAGGCAATAAGATCAAAAGACAACAGTTACATGAGGCATCAAGTAAAAAAGCTGAACTTCCAATAATAACAGCCATCAAAAGCAACCATTTTACATAGTGCAGCTCTGGGAGAACTTCAACACATGTACGATCCAATTTCTTTACTTTGCAGAAAAAACTCGACTCAATGAAAACAATATTTCATTTCATCATGTGCTATATTTGAACAGAAGGGAACAGCAAGGTTGTTAGCACCACCTTAATACCAATAATATCAGAACAGAATCCGTCTTCCAAAATTCTAATGTAAACTAGCTTGTAAGGCAACAGTATCGTAAATGGAACAGGATCCAGGCTAGCAAAGCTGTGCATTTTAAGACGCCAACAGACTGAACAGAGCTATCGATGGAGAATTACCAAAAATTAACAGTCTTGCTAGGGAGACGGTAAAGTGATTCTCAATAGGTATCAGCAATAATTGCAGGGCGCCAAGATCAAAGATAGCAAAGCTGTCTTTTAAGAAGTAACCATTTAAGAGTTACAGCTCGAGAGTTCCAAAAAATGTAGGGCCTAATCTCTTACTTGGAAGAAAAAGATGCCGATTTTATGAATTTCAGTCCATCATATGGTATAAAAGAACCAATAGGAAATCATTAGAAGCACCATAACACTGACAAAATCATATCAGCATCCTTCTTCCTGACTTCATAGTGTAAACTAGCTTAGAGGGGTACAAAAACCAACTTGTAACAGAATCAGACCATAATCCTTCCAATTTAGATATGCCTCCAGAATCAGACTAGCTTTAGAATGCAGCAAAACTAGAGAACATGAGTCTCTTGAATCAAAATTATTTAATTGAATGGAGAAAAGAAAGAACACATGATTGAGTACAGTTCAATGATTTTAACTTTTGCAAAATCAAGAGACAACTCGGTATTAAATCCAAATGCCTCAGTTCCACATAACCAAACAGAAATTTGGGGCAGAAGAGCAACTGCGACTATTGATAGCTCTCTTCTAGGACCCCACTTTATCATGTTAAAGCTTCTTGACTTTAAGACGGGGCAAGATCAACCACCATTTGTACAAAAGGACTGAACTATAGGGAGTGAATTGATTTATAATCGATTGTAGGAACTGTTTCTCCATAGGCATCGTGTGCTAATTAAAGAATCATAGAGAAAATAGTAGTAGGATGGGGGCAAAAGAGCAACCAGGACTAGTCATAGTTCCCATCTAGGACCCCATTATCAAGCTTTAGAGTCATAAAAAATCAAAGATGGGGCAGAAGGGCAACTAAGCGTAATCATGGTTCTCTTTTAGGACCCTATAAGAATATATATCAAAGAACAAATCACAATGACAAACAAGGCAGAAGAGCAACTCTGACTAGCAGAATTCTATTCTAGGACCTCATTGCCATGCATATTAGAGAATCATGGACTGATGGACAAACCGACATTTGGGCAGAAGAGCAGCTGTGACTAGTCATAGCTCTCTTCTAGGACCCACTTTTTCATGTTAAAGCTTCTTGACTCTAAGACGGGGCAAGATGAACCACCATTTGTACAAAGGGACTGAACTATAGGGAGTGAATTGATTTATAATCGATTGAAGGAATAGGCAATATACAAAAGTATCCCAGCAGGCAACATGTTAACTCATAGATCTTATAGTCACCGTATGCTAATTAAAGAACCATAGAGAAAATGGTAGGATGAGGGCAAAAGAGCAACCAGGACTAGTCATAGTTCCCATCTAGGACCCCATTATCAAGCTTTAGAGTCATAAAAAAATCAAAGATGGGGCAGAAGGGCAACTAAGCCTAATCATGGTTCTCTTTTAGGACCCTATAAGAATATATATCAAAGAACAAATCACAATGACAAACAAGGCAGAAGAGCAACTCTGACTAGCAGAATTCTCTTCTAGGACCTCATTGCCATGCATATTAGAGAATCATGGACTGATGGACAAACCGGCATTTGGGCAGAAGAGCAGCTGTGACTAGTCATAGCTCTCTTCTAGGACCCACTTTTTCATGTTAAAGCTTCTTGACTCTAAGACGGGGCAAGATCAACCACCATTTGTACAAAGGGACTGAACTATAGGGAGTGAATTTATTTATAATCGATTGTATAAACTGTTTCTCCATAAACAATATACAAAAGTATCCCAACAGGCAACATGTTAACTCATAGATCTTATTGTCACTGTATGCTAATCAAAGAACCATAGAGAAAATGGTAGGATGGGTGCAAAAGAGCAACCAGGATTAGTCATAGTTCTCATCTAGGACCCCATTATCAAAGATGGGGCAGAAGGGCAACTAAGCCTAATCATGGTTCTCTTTTAGGACCCTATAAGCATGTATATCAAAGAACTAATCACAATGACAAACAAGGCAGAAGAGCAACTCTGACAAGCAGAATTCTCTTCTAGGACCCCATTGCCATGCACATTAGAGAATCATGGACTGATGGACAAACCGACATTTGGGCATAAGAGCAGCTGCGACTACTCATAACTCTCTTCTAGGACCCCGCTTTATCATGGGAGCAAGAGCAAACGTGTGTAAAATGGGACTCAACTATACGGACTGAAGTTTTTTATAAATCGATTGTAGGAACTAGGAACATTCACCTCACTGTTTCTCAACATAGACACTATACGAACCGACATGATCAATTGTGCATACAAAGAGGGACGGACTAAACGGCTGACATGGTAACTCATAGATCTTGCATTCAACGTCACTGCCCACTAACTGTCTCGAAATCGTGTACCAGCAAGATCAGAGCGGTTTTTCAGAGAGGACAGGAAAGCTCTCAAAGACCCATCGTAATCGCTACCACTAATTATCCAGCCCAGAAAACGAAAAGGGTAGGTCTGAAACATACCTCAACAGGGAACCGACAACGAATTCGATCTGAAGTGTCGGTGATTAGCCAAATATCACCCGGCAGACTCTAGGGTAACAACTTGGAAACAAAACTTGTAGCTACTCCCCTGCCCGTCCCCCATATGGCCATACCCGCTGCTATATATCGTCGACTTCGACCCTCCCTTTTCTTCGTCAGTTCCGATTCTAAACTTGTAGAATCCATGGGCAACTACTTACAGGCGGCGACCAACAGCGAATTAATGGGTTTCCCGAAATCATCTTTCCCTTTGGCTTCCTCAAAACCCTACTTTCGATGATCGCCGAGGCAACATGAGAAAACTCAAGCAGGCGGTAGAGAAACTTGAAACCCTAGAAGGAAAGAGTGCGTGACTTTACTTACTTCCCGTTGCTCCCATTCCTGGAGAGAGATGATGAAGACGTTGCTGGGTGGAGGGAAAATGAACAAGAGAGCTTCAGTTGGTATTTATAGATCAAGGCCGAGCTATGAAGGCGGTTAGCTAGGACGCGTTTCCGCTTTTATAGCGTTATTTAGCCGTTAGACGCGTTTCGAACACGTTTCGAACGCGTTTCAGACCCGTGTTTCCTGCTGGAATTTCTTACGATAAATAAGTCGGCTGGATAACAATACCAGCCAAACAATAAAAAAGATGGTCCATCAGAATATAGCCCAATAGTTAAACCCTCTGCAGCCCAAACGAACAAAAGACCATTAACTACACGTATTGCCAAATACACAATTTTTGGATTTAAAGCGAGGCCCAATACCCCTATTGCTCTTAATTGAGCCCAATTTTAGAATTTTTTTTTATGGCAGCCTAATGTTATGAGCAGGCACTGTTGAGTTCGTATGAACTACAAGACTTGGGGTTTTTTTTTTATGGCAGCCTAATGTTATGAGCAGAACCTCTTTTATTAGATTTTTTTGTCAAACATCTTTTTACATAACTTGTTTCTCTATAAAGTTAAACGGAAGGGAAATTTACGACATATTTGGGGTTTTATGTTTAGTAAAATTACACATAAATGTAAATTTTATTTTATTTTGGGTCTATTAATTTATGAACATGCTTTAGATAGGGAAGTTTGGTAACGATATTTGGGATACTCGAAATACGGATGAATATTGAAACATAAGCTAGTGAGTATTTTATCCATCTCAACTAGCCTTTCTCACTTGCTGCTACCAGACCCTCATCCGCCAAAATTATCACTTAATTATACATATTTTATTCCCTCATTATTTGACAACATAGATCAAGTTCATTTCGTTAGTTGTAGAATGTTTATGATTTGCTTTTGCTTAGTCATCTCATGTTTTCGTTAATTATTATAATTTTATTAATGTTTGTTAGGCATCGCATTTTCCTATTTTGTTGTCATTGTACTTGAGGCTTTTTTCATTGGTTTTGCGCGAGTAACTGTTTTTATTAAGGATTTGCTTTCGTAACTGTTTTTTTCTGGAATGCCCGCGGGTTTGCAGTGCACGATTGCCAATTGGTCGACGATATCCCAATAGATAAACTGCTGATCCATTATATGCACGCCCACACGAGTCATATTCACAAACACCGGCATCCCAAAGCCTCAAGGTCAGTTTATCAGTGTATACATGGTGTTGGCTTGCATCATCGGAGGCATTTCAATAAATCTAAGGCATTGGCTTGCATTACTCTTCTGTTCATATGCAGGGATCTACTGGGATAAATTGTCTCCAGAGAAACTCGGCCAAGTTCGGATACTCAGAGAGCTCAAGAGACGAATCGAGAAGGAGACTGGACGCAAACTCCCTACTGGACCATCAGAGAAACTACCCCCTACCGCTCAGCGGAAGAAACGCAGATAAGAGTTCTGTAATGAAGCCATTTCTGACTCCAGCTTAAAGTGACACTCCTGGTGTACAATGAACTGAAGAAATTTGGTACACTAGTAGTTGAAACGATTCTGTATTGTAAGCAAATTGTTTCTTCTAACATTATATAATAGAGACAAGGAAATACACGAAAGAACACTCGGGGTTTGCTGCTAGTATGTACACACCTAAACTGTCTCAGACACATTTGATTGTTCTTTGACAGAGCAAGGAAATACTCATCGTTTAGTACCTTATACCATTCTGGTGAGTGGAGTCCCATTTTTCTGATGCAAAATTCTTTCGGCGGGAGCTAGGGTTTGTGGCATCGTCATACCAACTGAGACAATGATCTCTGCATCATAGATGGCGAAAATTTCATTAACATACAATGCCTGACTATACTTGGCTTGAAAGAACAAATGGAGCACAATATGAAAGGCACACTCTTGTTGCATATGTATATTGAAAAGCCTAACAGAATCATCAGGGAGTCGAGGAGGATAAGGCGGACTGACCTATTCCTTCCCGAATCGACAAGTTTGGTCTGATGATATCTTTCGAGTTGACCAGAAAAGTGTCTCCAATATACAGATGGTTTGTTGGAACATAAACGCTGCACAATTCTTCATCCCCGTCTTCTCTCTGGATGAAGCAAGCCACAACTTCAGGAACTTGTGTGGATTTGATTTATTAAAGCCTTTTGGACAGTACTTTAAAGGATGAATATGTATAATTCTTGCACTTGCACATGAGTTAATATAGCGAGAAAGTTAAAATGGCCCACAAAGAAGCTTCGCAAGTACTATCATTTTCATCGGTTTACACCCTTCACAGTGACATGGAAAACAGATATAGCTATATATTTCACATCCTTAATGGAATTGTGCATAGTTTAGAGGCTTGTGTTAAAATGGGACCACTTGACTGAAGTTCAAGCCAGTTGCCAATCACAGAGCTCCTCTGTAAAAATGTGTTAAATTTTTACCTGAAGGAGAAAAGTCGATGTGATGAAGCCAAATGCATATTCCCCTTGACGTGGATGACGGATGATTGCCACCTCTTTAAATGCAGTAGTATTCTGGTCTGCGATTTAAAGGAGTTCATCAAAGCAGCAAGTTATACATCAAGGGTAGTCATCAAAATATCTAAGTAAATTCAGTAGTTCTAAAATGCATTATTTTACGAGGATAACCAATTATGTCTCTCTTAACCTCTCCAAAACCTCTGCATTTTGTTATGGGAAATGAAAAGGAAATAGCAAAATGTAGTCATCACGGGATCCTTCTTGCAAATTGGAAGGCCTATTTCCTTTTTCCTTCACAAGGGTTTCAAAGTAACATGTTTTTTTTTTTTTTGGCAGATCAAAGGACATTCATCTAGAGAATTACCAGGAGAAATAGCTGCACTGAGTTGCTTGGAGGCTGAATACAAGTGCTTCACAAATGGCATTTGCTTTATGAGCCATTCACCAAGCCAGAATACAGTGGAACCAAACCATGATGAAGCAAATATCCCCACGAAGAATATGAAAAGTAGTGACGTAATAAATCCAAGGCCTGTTTCAGCAGCAGTCGTATATATCAGTAGCGGATAGAGCAGAAGGAACAAGTTAAGGTAATACTTATATCAATTGAACAGATTTACCATCTCGAACAACTCAGCATGATCAAACATCTAATCACATAAAAGAGAAATGGAAAGATTCCAGCAAATAATTGGTGAGTGGTCTATTAAGTATCTTCAAGAAGCAATGCCTTCATGTTGCAACAGAAGCTCCAGCAGAGGTCAGAACGATTGTAGAGTTCTTTCGCCTACTCTTGCAACTTGCAAGATCTAACTAACACTAGAGAGGCCCTAAAAACTAGCTAATTTCCTAGAAAGTAACAATGGCCCAAAGATGATGATGAACTTTGGAATGTTTGGAAATAGCTTGCTAATATCAGCATGAATATTCAAGGTTGAGAAATGATATAGACAAGACCTATGATACCTTTATCTTCGCATTAGAAGTTTAACCTATATTTTGGTTAGGTTTTGTCATGAGACTCATGTGTTTGGTATGAAATGTGATGGAAATAAATTGATTGGGATTGGTCAAAGAACTTTAAGTTTTGAAATATGGACAGGTCATGTGGTGAGAAGGACAAAATATCCATGTGGAATGAAAATGCTAGTCTATGGTTTCACAGTTCTTTGCCAAACCATAGATATCTACTATAGACCCTAAAGTTTAAAGACTTAGAAACAGCAGAACTTCGCTATAGACACTATAAAAGCTTACCCCTCACAAATTATAATACGGAGATTGGCAATTTGCCAATCAATTAATTATCCACACCATTCCCATGCTACATAAATGATAAAACTGAGTCGCTATTTAATGGGTTCATGGCAACACATGCTCTGGTGCCAGGTAACAGAGTATGACTCTGGAGGAAAAAAAATCCAGTAAATAATCTTACCAAATATATCAACGCCAAGTTGTTCATATATGGGACTGAAGAAGCTGTCCACAAACTCAACAAACCACCATGTGATCAAGAATGTCACAGCTACTGGAAACAGAACAATGCTGCAATTGTCACTGACTCAAATTAGCATCAGATGAGGCAAGGAAACAGAACAAAACCAGAGATAAAAGAAGATTAATCAAATAAAAACTTGAAAGAGAAGCTTCTTCTTACCATCCAGTCATGAACTTCTTGGACACCCAACTTTGCAGAACGGCATAGCAAGCCTGATAAAAACTTTAAAATGTTAAGAATGCACAACACTGAAATCCCATAACATGCATCAATCAACCACATCATATTTCTAGTTCATCCTTCCAAAATCCAAATGGCCTCCCCCTCACAACTGGATCCAGTCTCAGAAATTACAACGTTTGACTCTACGACGGCAGATTTGGCTGGTACGAATCTCCAGCCATAAACCCCGCCCCAGATTGTTTCGGGAGTCTGCAAACCCTTGATTCTCCACTCACATTGAATCTGATATTGAGTAATGTACTCAAATCCTAACCCTAAGATCAATTCAGCAATAGCATTGAGGTGAATTCGCCAGGGGTGAACGATTCATCATCCAACTTTTCTCCCAGTTTCACCCCGTAACTCACCTCCATCAATCAGGTTGACTTGCTTTCATTCCAACAGCGGAAATGGGAAAAAACGAAACACTTAACTAGATCCCGGACCAGAGGCCAAGAACAAATTCAATTCGAATTCTCCAAGCACACAGGTGAGAAGGGTTATGGAGAACCTCAGAATCAAAATTTGACCAGAAATGGAATGCTTGATCGGCGAGTCAACAGAGCAAAGTCTCTCTCTCACCACAGGAAAGAGACAAGTAGCGATCGGAGTGAGTAAATGAGCGGGAGTTACCTTGCGAGTGGAAGAGCCAGGGGAGCTAGGAGGAGACTTGGGGACATCTTCCGAGTCGGACTCGTGGCGGGTCAGATCTTGCTTCTCCGAGCTTGACGACGACGATGATTCTTTATCCGCTGCCATTCTCGACAACACCTGAAAACTCTCCTTCAACTTCGAACTGCTTGTTGCAAAAAAAAAAAAAACAAATCCAGACAACCCTACGGCGGGGCGAACTCCGGGGAGGAAATGGAAGTCGGAAGTCGCCGGAGCAGACTTCTGGATTTTCTTTGTTTCTTTTGCTTTCAGTTGGTTGGGCATATGGGGGCTGAAAGACCGGCGGGCGGACTGTGGAAGGTGGAAAGGAAGACTGGAGGTTGAAACTGGAGTACTGGACACACATGTATAATAATTCTTTTATTTTTTTCCCTCGTGAATTTTTGTGTATCCCTAAAGATTTAATTTTAGAAGAAAAATCAAGATTATCAAGCTGTATTAGAAAATAAGAAAGTATTCTATATTGAAATTACGGTTTAATTACAATTAACTTTTGTATATTATTAAAATCATTTATTAATTTAGAGTCCGATCTTCAATATTCACAATCTCGCCGGAGCCCCCTACGATTTCTTTAATATTGAAATAAAACATATCCACATCTATTGTCATGAGGTGTTTGTTTCGTACTTCTTTAGCAATACTTCGATTGACAATACTCAATAGTAGACTAGTAGTGACTAGTGAGATCGTGTTAGGAAATGAACAACAATATCAAAAGACTTGCATAAAATTCTATTTGTACCTAAGAGTATTTGAAGTATGATTTAAGGGGTGTTATTTTATATGCTAGTTTTAATATGTAGGGGGCTCGCCTCCGCGGATTTGACCACTTTCTCGAGTACTGATTAGGGATGTGATTCATGCTCTCGTAGTGAAAAATGTATCTTTTATTATATTTTAACTCTATCCCGTCTCACGTCAAATTACCTCTAGGAAATTCAACAGAATGCGGTCATCTATTGATTAAACGATTTCCTTCGTGTTTAGATCGATTGTCTAACTACTATCGCAATTCGCAGTAACCAGTAAGTTTATTTTGTTTCTCTGCTTTACCTTCTTTTTATGTGGGAATGATTTGACTTGAGATGTGCATTGATATTCACTCAAAGGCAAGTTTCGGAGGTCCCAAAGAAGAACTGATCCTTCCTTACCGTCAAAAAGTCCACTCGAAGAAAGCGTAATGGTTGAGCATCCTCCTTTTGGATGCAAGTTACTCTAAAGAACCATCAATAACACCTTTGTTCTTTATATAGTGAATGTGATTGTTCGGATCATCTAAGAATGGTATGATGTACATGGTTGAAACGAGAAATGTGATTGATCGGACCATCTAAGAATGGTACGATGTACATGGTTGAAACGAGAAATGTGATCGATTTGTACTATCTGTAAGATTATAGAATTGGAAATGTAATGTGAAAAAATGATTGGGTTGATAAATTGAGGCAAACATGTAGAAGGAAATTTTTAGATTTTATTCAACGAAAAAAAAAAATTTAGATTTTGCTTGGTAGACTCACTCGTTACCATAGCAGTATTGATATTGTTAATAGATTTGGATTTACTTATCGAGTGACGTCTCAACCCCATCAGTATTCCCCCCCCCCCCCAAATTGATAACTAAATGGGTGAAAGCCGTGGGACGAAGCAAAATTCGAGGTTGATATTGACGAGGTGGGCGGAAGATCTCTCCATATGTTTTCTACGGGGGCATTTTGAAATGGGCTCCTTACAAGTTTTATCATAATTAAAGAAATCTAAGGCTTGTTTAATGGTATGAGTTTTCGGAAGTAGTTGTTTAGATGTTTATGTTATTTGTTGGATAAAAAAAAAATTTGAATGCTAGCATTAAATGTTGTATCTAAATATAAGCAATTTTTTATTTTATTTGAGATGACGTATTTTATTTAAGTATTAATATAAATTTTAGAGAAATTGTTTTCAAATATACTATATATATATATACCTAAAGTCTTTTCATATTAATGATATTTCACCTCTCTACATGTTTTGCTAAAACTAGCATAAACTGGTTGTAACACCGTTCGGAACATACCACTTACCAAACGAGCATAACAGTATTGGATGTGATTTTGTATCACCGTAATACATAAAATATTTTATGGTGCAAAAAACATTATAGTTGAGTATAAACCAAATTTCTTTAAAAAAATCCGTATTCCGAAAGCCAGACTGGAAGCTACTTCTCGGTTGAAGGATTTTATTTTATGATAAGTTGATAACCCAACAGAGTAAATATCCAAAGAAAAGTAAGCCTCTTTCTACCAGGAAAAATTGGGATCTCGATTATCTTAAATAGTTTTTTAGGGATTTCGATCTCTTCCTAGTTTTCTGCGTGTGCAACTGCAGCACATCCTCAATTCCTCCGGCGGCACTTATCTTCCTCGCTTCTGTTGGTCTTACCTCCATGATGGCGGATACCGGCACTTCTGCTTTGGGTCGGCAGCTAAGGTCACGTTTTCTGCCTTGCAGCTCCAGCAAACGACGCCGGATACATTCAACAGAAGCAAACCCGACGACGGCGGCGGCGATCTGTAAACTGGACGACGATCTCCTCGTGGAAATTTTGATTCGCCTCCCAAACCCTAGGTCCGCCTGTCGGTGCAAACTCGTCTGCAAGCAGTGGAGCTCGCTCATCTTCGACCCAGTACGCTTCAGCCGTCGCTTCGTCTCGCACCACCGGTGCAGGAACCAACAACAACAACCTCCTCTGATCATTCTCTCCGACGACCCGCAATCAATCATCACGAGCTTCCTCCCCTTGACGACTCTATCTTCAATGTCCTTCGTGGTTTTGGATTCCTACAAGGACTTGGTTTTGTGCGGGTTCCCTGGTCTGGGCCCAACCAGCGGCGAACTGTACAGATCCTACTTCCTCTGCAATCCGTTTACCAAGCAATGGATTGCGCTCCCTCTGGCGCCTGAATGGCCAAAGGAGACTTCGATCTGCTTTGCAAGGTTAGTTTGCGAACCCCGCATTTCCAATGATTTTGATCTGGGGGAGTATCGATTCCGAGTTGTGTGTCTGTACCGGCATTTAGGGTCTACAAAGCTCGATGTTTTCTGTTCGGATACTGGGGGATGGACCAAGGAGGTTCTTGTTCGTCACAAGCATAAACAATTCTTTGCCAGAAATGTAGTTTCCTGCAATGGGGAGGTTTTCTGGACCTACGGTGTTCGAAACCAGGATCCTGGTGTTGTTGGCCACCTGGTGAAGCCATTCGTTGCTGCTTTCAATCCTTTCCGGCCGGATATCCCTCCCACTGCTATTGATGTTCCACAAGTGTTTGGGAAACCTGGGTGGGATATTTCCGTCTCGCAAGGTGCTCTGCACCTAATTGTATTCGAAGACAGCCCCGAGCCAGGTCGTGCTGCACAGATCGCCTCGAGTGTTTGGAGACTGGAAGGAGACCATAAATCATGGAGGAAAGTATGTGCAGGGCTGTTGAGGAGTTCGACGTTGTATGAAGTTCGCCCCTTTTTTCGACCTAACCTACATCCGGAGAAACCAGAAGTTGTCTTCTTCTGCCATATGGGTGGTCACGGCGAGCTTGTTGCCTTGTCCTGCGATTTGGGGACAGGGGGGGAGCTGGAGCTCTTCACTGAAGGAAGACAGCTCCTGCCCTGTTGGAGGATGTTCAAAGTTGAGTCTGCTTGCTGGCCGTCTTCGATTGCGAGGTACAAGGAATTGCGAGCAATGTACGACGGAAGCTGCAGCTGTTGGGTTCAGAGCAACGACGAACCCCGCGTCTAGAACTCCCTCAATAGCTGGTACGTAACTTGTGCCTGATACTCACTTCTACTTGTATAGTCTCTGCTACGCGGTTAGCTATGCTTTTAATGAAAATTATTACTAGGAATTGTTAGTTATGTTGTGATGAAAATGATTTAGGAATGCAATGGTAAAGAAAATGAGAAAGTAAGAAAAAAGAGAAGGTTCAAAAGCTTAAAGCATGTACATCAAGAATGAGGAGGAAGAAGAAGCAGACCTGTGCCTTCCCGAATGGACAAATTTGGTCTGCTGATGTCTGCAGAACTTACCAGAAAGATGTCACACTTAAGCAAGGAGCAGATTCTGAATGCAGGGTGAATTGGGACCAAATATGCTATTAAAGCCTAACCTGAAGGGTAAGGGATTGGGCCTAACCACCGGGTTATTAAAGCCCAACATGTTATTAAAGCCTAACCACCGGGTTTGTTCAGAATGGTTTGGGGACTGGGGTCTTCTTACAATTAGATTGGGCCTCGGACCCGTTCCAAGCAGGCCTGCTTTTAATTCTGGTTTGAAAGACTGGTATTGGAATGTAAAATTTCTAACAAAATATACCAGATATTTCATGATTTATTTTATATTATTATGTACATTATGATCTATTTTTCATGCATTTTTTTTTTACAACGTAGATTATGTCGAAAGAAATTTCGACCATCTCTACCCGAAAAATCCTGGCTTAGTCCTAGTTCTAAATTTCTCACGATCCTAGTGTTTGAACTTGAACCCAACTCTTTTCAGCCCAAAAAAATTAACATGACCCAACTCTAAGATTAGGCTACAAAATACTTTTTCATTTTGAAATAATCAAACTATGAACCCACCATGTTCCTCTAAATAATGCTCTTGTGAATTGTATTATGGACCCCTTATCTTTATAGACGCACGTTTCTGGGCTTAGAGCAACGAGGTCCACTTCCTTTCCATTTTCTTTCTTTTGAATTTTGATAACCTTCTTTGCCCTTTTTTTGTTCCTATCTCTATCAAGTATCAAATATGATGATGGAGTCAACGAGATCGGAAAAAAAAAAAAAAAACAATAGAAGGAGTCAACCATCAACAAATTCCCTTTGACCAATTCAGTCCCTTCCCCAAAGAAATCCCATCGCTAGCCGCCCAACCACTCGAATATTTTTGCAAGAGTTTTATAAATTCGGTATTTAGATTTAATAAAACAAAATTAACTTTTAGTTTAAGAGAAATTTTACAATGCTATATAGTATTGGTGCTATAGGTTTTTGCCTTTATGGTACAACTTAAAATTGTACATTTACGTTATGGTACAACTTCAGATTGTACCTATATTTTTTGTACAAATTCTTTTATGGTACAACTTGAACTTGTACCTTTATGTGATGGTACAACTTCAAGTTGTAAAGTTGTACAATAACATAAGGGTACAAATTGTTTTATAGTACAACCTAAACTTATACATTTAATGTTATGGTACAACTTTAAGTTGTACATTAAAGCACCAATACTATATAGCATAGTAGAGTGCTCGTACTTTAAATATTATGATAGAAATTAAGTTTTTTTGCAAGAGTTTTATGGTCGTTAAAACCAATTTATTTGAGAGACAGTCTGGAGTTTTTTTGAGGAATAACTAGACTTTAATTAAATTTTGATTTAATCATTAAAAAAATAATAAAAATAAATATATTTTTGTCTGAGAGAGAGACAACCCCTTTTCTAATGTAAAAATTAACAAAATCTGATTGTTAAAGTCATAATTAGCAAAAACTCCATTTTTTTTTTTATACCCAGGAACCTCAGCCCCACGTGCCACTTTGTGACAGCGGGTCCTACTAAACCTGGGGGCCACCTGCATTTAATTTGACGCCAACGGGGCTTCGCCCCCAGCAGCCTTGTACCTCCGGGAACACCAACGGGCCTCGCTTGGATTCGAACCTGGGATCTGCAACTCCCAAGCCTTCACTGTTGCGGCAGCTTTACCGTTAGGCTATCTTACCTTTGGTAATTAGCAAAAACTCCATTGAATACACGTGTATGTACTCGTAAGCATTTCATCCGTTTAAAATTTTCACATTCATATTATTGTCAACCCGTTTAATTTTTTTATGTTCATTTCATATCTTCCATATTAAACACGTATAAAACCCGTATAAGACGTTCAATATCCATATTTAATAAAAATTAATGCAAATTGATATGGTGTTGTCCTTATTTTGGTACTCGTCATCATAAAAGGAGATCGACTTCCTCGTCAATTTATTCCACATTGTTAATTATTCCATTTTGGTTTACTTAACTTTTTTCCTCTTCGTCTCTTATGCATATAAAGTTCCTATCTAAGCCAACTTGAGATCTCCATGAAACTATTGATATCTTTCCCAATGATAGGAAGTGGATAAGTCCTTTCAAAGTTACATAGATGCATTACAATCTTCACATCCCACAAAGATTTGATTTTTCAATTTCTTTGTCCAAATTATATATGCTCACTAAATCCTTATAAAAATCAAAGAAACATAAATTGTGTCTTTTTTAATTTTAAGAAAGTTCTTCACGAGCGATAATACGAATAAATATAGACTTCACATCAAGTGGTGAAAATCCACACTGATCTCAAAAGAAGAAGAAGAAGAAAAACCACATTATGTTTTATGTTGTAGTGAAAATTTCACTTCACAAGACGTGAATCTGACTGGTGCAAGTATATTGTAATATTCTCCGCATAACAATCTTACTAACAATCTTACTAAGAAAACCATTATAACTAAAATCTAAAATATAGCTACACTCCAACATTCCAATATTCGAATTCGAGCAATTAAAATCACTAGCGATCTCGTTCGGGTGCATAAGATATCATCTTGAGTAAATGGAGTCAAATATGACAAGTAATATTTGGACTGGACGAGCTGAGATTTGATAGATGGAATTTGGGATTTTGGTAAATCTTTGGTGATAGTGATAGATGCATTGGTGGAATGATGGACTACTTATCATTTGGGATTTTGACACCACCGTTACAAAAGGATCATCACGTGGGATTTTATATAATGGGAAACCCTAGATTTCATGGGCCTACGACCATATATTCAACCCCATGGATCGATGCTACAGAATCATCTAAAGAAGTGCAAATAGCCAAATATGGTAAATGCACCTTGAATCTTTTTTGTTTTTTTTTTTTAAGTATAATTAGGTGCAAGTTAAGGGATTCGAGACTGAATCACTTTATGATACAACGTTTTTTCACTTGATCATATGTATAGGTAAAGATTTGAGTTGCTACTCGATTGAACTATTTGGATATTGAGCTGGGGGGATCTTAATTTACTTGACATGTGTAATCATATAAGATAATAATGTGAAAAGTATATTTGTGATTGACATCATATATATTATCTACAAATTCTCACAATCTTGAGAGAACATGACTAGTGCTTTATTTCTTTTGCTGAGGTAGCACTTTTCTTCTTCTTCTTCTTCTTGTGATAAAGTGAAGGATTTGTAGTTATCCTAATTGTTCAAAACTTTTCCCCAACTCATCACATGTATAAATAAATTGACTGTTTAGGCTTCATGCGTCGTCGTCTTGCTTTGCAAAACTGAGATTTTGGTGCTTTTCACTAGAATATATTTGTATGTTTCATCGTCAAATCATAATAATTCCTTTCCAATTCCTCTAAAAATATCGAGAGCCTTTTTTTAGTTCACATTTCCACGTAGTTAGGAAATAGAAGCATGAAGTTCTTGGGTGTGAAAGGGGTCGATTCGGGGTTTCGGGATGAAAATCGTATCAGATCGAAATTATCTGACAGTCTGCATTCGTTTAATACAGTTAACAAATCAGCCCAATTTTCGGTTATCATCTTCTAAAAAGTCGGAATCGAAACCGGACTAATTCGTTCCAGTTTAACTGGATTTCACCACTAACTGTTATCATATATGGATTACAAAACAATAATTTAACAATTGATTGAAGGAGAAGAAAACTTAAATTCATGAAAAAACACAAATTAAACTTGCAAATCTGAACTGGTCGGATCATCAATCATCACCAGGGACGACAGCAAAAAACGAAATCCCACCCATCCACCCAACTAGACAACTATATTATTAGATGCCAAACCTGTGTTCTTGACTGTATTAAATATTAATTAATTAGAACCCTAATTTGCCCACTCATGCATGCATCTGCTTACGAATATTAATTGTGTATATATTCATCTCCAAGTTTGCTTCGTACTTTTATATTTATGACATATGCGTTCGTTTACAAAACGTTGTGCCAATAAATGAAGAAAAAAAAAGAGGAAATTACCTTCTAGAAAAAGTAACATGCATCCATCTAGAAGCTCTTTGTCGACGAGGGCAGGCATGAATAATAATGGGTAATAAATAATACTATAATATTGGATCTTGTCTAGTTGAATTACGTATGGCATGCTGAGTTATTCTTAATGAAAGTTGGATAGGTAATTAGCCAACTTAATTAATTTGTCATGGATTACATAATTTGGTGAGGTAATTGAACGAGAAATATTCTAGGGTTACGTAGGGAACAAATACATGCACGTACGCAGTTATTTTTTTGTTTATTATGCAAGTTTATTGGCTATAGAGAGAGGGAAAGTGATGATCATCTGCACCGTGAAGGAAAATGTCTCGCTTTGACTATAAGCAGTGATGAAGTTCCTTGGGAATTCATTTTTAAAAATGTTGTTATATATGGACCGGTTCGGTACGATTTGATTTGATCCAAATATCATTTCGTTAATCTTTTAGTATTTTTTAAAAATTTATGGAACCAAGTATCGAATCGTATTATATTCAGTATGATCCGGTACATCATAGACTAGATATATGTGATAGTGAAGGACAGGTTAGACATTTGAAGTTTTTAAAATTAAACATTTTTTTTATGAACCGGGTCTTTAGTACTCTTTCCATTCCATAAAAAAGGGTTAGCTTAAGCAATCCCATAACTAGGTGTAAATACATGTGTAGAAAGTAGAAACCATAAAAACAAAAATCACTATTTATAGCTATAATATTTTTGTGGTTGTAGGTCACTTCCTTCCTTCCTAACATTTTGGCATCAGCCATATCATGAATCATGATCAGTAATTTTACATCTTCAGTACTCTCTATTCTCTACCTACCCAAAACTCCACGTGTGGTTTTACAGTGGACCAAAACCATCCACATCTTCCTTTCTCCTACAATTCTATATATAATCTCTCTCTCTTTTTGTTTTATAGCGATTCATGATATGATCACTGAACTTTAGTATCATTACCAAGCTAAGCTTTGGGGTTTAAACAAATTCATCATCAAAGTTTGAAATAGCTAATGAGTCTACTAGCTAGTTGTTCATTTTTCATTTTGATTAGCATGTCGAATGGGCCAAACAATAATAACGAACACACAAACCCTAATTCCTAACTTGGAGGCAACTCTCGATCATAGAGCACGTAAGAACGACAGGTACATCTTAGCTGAAAAAGAGTACTGGTCCAGATG